AAGAAAGGAACACGAACGCACAAGACAAGAGAATTTTGAGGATATTGTTGAAGCTCTGAAACATGGAAGAAAATTTGGCAACAACTATTTTCAGAATTTTGTTCAATACGGAATTGAAGATATCCCTTTTCGGATTTTATCTATTCTCTTCCCAGCGGCAATCATGTACTGACGCTTGAGGAACATTTTCTTGAAGCACAAGATGCAACAGCTCTGCCAATTTGGCGCCCAGAGATCTTCTTCGAGTACCCTGATACTGAGCTGGAGGAGCAAGAGATTCTTGATCTCCTTGAATTGTTCAGATGTTGCTTGATGGGCAAAAGAGCTGTTTCTGTGGGGAAAGAGCTGTTTCTGTGGGGAAAGTCCGAAATGCGGAAAACCCCGAAGACACTCAAAAGGACAGTTACCAACTTGGTATCCTTACTCTCAACCTCGGACACATCAACCGTCATCCGTATATCGGAGGTAGTTCTAAGTTTCCATCCTGGGTCCGCAAGGACAACAACTATCGTGCTTTGCCATATTTATTTTTTCGCAATTCTGCTCATATTGTGACTCTTTGTGAAGCCAATGATGAACATGGCGGCATTGCCATTCATCAGCAACTTGCCTCTGATCATTCGATGATAGGTATGGTGGCCAACGCCGAAATCACGGCTCCGTCACTTGCAATTTTCAGTCGCGGCAACCATTTTTCCGTCACATTTATTGAGCTTATCGGTCACTACCAAGCTGAGACTTCCAGCAAAGAAGCACAAAACCGATTCTGGTTGCTTCATGGCGCGATTTTTCGTCTTTCATATGGCCACATTACGTCTGGTGAAATCATCGACCCAACAACCGGCATCGGAACAACAAAGCCAACTGACGTAACACCCAATATGAGCGCTGCAGTCAAGCCGCATCCGGCTCCACTGGCCTCAACACAAGATTCGCCTGATCTTTTTATCTGTGAGATTGATGGCCGATGTGATGCTCAGCATGCCGACCTGTTACGGCCGACTTCCGGCGCAGACACACATGACGTAAAACGTCTTGGTCTTGCAGAAGTCCATATTGGTGTATTCCACATTTATTCTTATGCCTGGTCCGACAGCTATTCTGAAGCCTGTGAAAAATGGCTACATGTTGTAGCCAATTGTGTGGAGCATCAAGTTGGTTTTCTTTCAGGCGACGTCAACCTTTTCGCCCAGCGCAGTTTCAAGAAAGATGACCACTCCGACTTTCGGACCTGCATCATGATTGATATTTTGGAGCGCTTTCTTCAAGAGATTAATTTGCAACGCAGTCCTTTAAATCGAATTTCCTATAATGTCGTTTCCTCCACGCAGGCCAGCCAGTATCTCCGAAGTATGGAAGGCGAAAGTGCCGACTGCGACTCAATGTTGTTAATTTCCCTATGTTACGGTAAGCAAACCGTTATTTCCGAAGAAAGAGGCAAGGAAGAATCCGCGTCCGCGGAAGAAGTTGCCGGCCCAGCCATTGGAGATGAGATCGTCCTCACGGACGTCGAACAGTTGAAGTATCTTTTAACTTACGATCTGGGCCTGAGAGAAACAGATGCCACATGGCACTCACCGCTTTTAGCATGACTCAAATTCGTGCACTCAAAAACATGCGCATTCGCTCCAAGGATTCCGAACATCGGAGAAGGACAAAATGGGAGGATCTCAACGTTGGGTACAAAGAAAGACGTGAAGAACGAAAGGCTGAGCGCCGTGAACGACACGACAGTGTCCCACCTCTGCGGAATGATTCATTCCGCAATGTGGATTCCGATACCCAACGCAGATCCAGATCTATGAGCCGAACTCCCGGCCAAGATCGCGCAGAAGTTCGTCCGCCTCGAACGCCACCAATGCCACCGCCGGTGAAAGCATCATGTGTGCAATTGATTGAGAAGACAACCGAGCACACCACCTCAACCACCGCCGGTGAAGGCTCCTCCGGTACCGCCACCGCGGCCATCCAGGTCGAGCAATGTACAGAGGTCTAATGCACAAAGACAAATTCCAAGCCGCTCCCTTGGTACCTCAGGTACCACACCACCATGGCGTGAGCATGAGGAGCGACGCAATCGCGTCGGAAGAGAGCGTTCAGAGACACCGCAAGGTCGAAACACCCGGACACGAACCGAGACACGGTCGTCCGCTGGTGGACATTGGACAAACACTGGGAGGTCGCAAAGGGAACGACCAATCAATGTTCCTGAACCTCCTGCGCCGCCGACCCGCATGTCGGGCACGCAATGACTTAATTCTGGTTATCCCAATGTGCCAGAACCACCATCATCGTCGACATCAGACCGATCTCGCGGTCCAGGTTATGTTCAACCGCCATATTGGCGTACCAATCCGCGAACTCATGTCGTTGAGTACGCACAAGGCTACTATGCTCCATACAACAGATGGATGTTGCGTTCTGATGGAGTATGGATAGATTTACTGCCACAAACGCCTGACCAAAGTATTTTCTTTCACCAGCCGTCAACCCAGACAAGAAGAAACGAACTCTATCTCTATGGATACTCGTTCTCAATGGGCTTATAGATTTTTCTGAACCAAAGAGCCGAATTACGGCCTGCCAGCAGATCCATTTTTTGTGTCTTCGGACAACTACGTTTCACAGCAGAGTACAAGCTGAGCGCTTCTTGTACAAAAAGTCAACTGCATGTTTCGACACGAAGAAAATTTGTGTTTGTTTGCAAACAATTTTTGGGGACGTGTCTACACAATGCATGCATGACAGTTTGCATGTAGTACATGACATGTTCACATAATTCATTCCATATTCATTCTATCCACTGCGCCACTCCGTGGCTCAAGACTTGCTTGCATACCGCAGCAAAAAGGTGTAGCTTGCCGCCGCGCTGACCACAAGTGTTCTAGTGTAGATCCACGGCTCCCTCAAGATGGGGATTGCTACCTCACCCTCCCTTCCCTCCCCCCCTCCCTCCCCCTTCCTCCCTTCCCTCTCCCTCCCTTCCCTCCCTCCTCCTTCCTCCCTTCCCTCCTTCCCTTCCCCAGGAAAGCCTTCCCTCCCCTCCCTTCCCTCCCTTCCCTCCCTTCCGTCCTTCCTTTCTTGCACCTTTTTCTGTCCATCCCCTTCCATCCTTCCTTCCTTTGGTGCCATTTCCTTCCATCCTTCCCCTCTTGCCCCTTTCTCCACCCATTCCCTTCCATCCTGCCCTTTCTTTCCCATCCCCTTCTGCCCTATTCCTGCTCCTTCCGTCTATAGTCTCCGTGCAGTCCCCCACGCGCGTAGCAGACTAAACGAAGCATCGAAAACGTTTTTGGGGACAAACTGCCATTAACAAGGCTCACAACGCAAAGCTGCAGGACTGAAGCCAAATCCAGCAGCAAAGGCTCGCAGACTGCATGTAGCCGGCCTCACAAATCTCACAAAGAAGATCCGAAATAGGTGAAACAAACAAAGCCATGCGTAAAGATATCCTGCAGCAATCCCAAATTCTTTTTGGGCTTAGACTGGAATGCCTGGCAACCCAAGTCATCACCTAAAGCGCAAAGATCTCAGTGATGCCTCTTGCCGCAAAGGCCAAGCGATACCTTCAATCGTCTTGCTCAAAAGCTTCTTAAATTGAAAGTTCCGAAGGTCTACCGGAGCACAGCCACTGTCATCCAATGTCATCCAATGTCTGATTTATGTTTGAGCTTGTCAGCATTTGGCATTCTGTGGTCGGTCACAGTAGCCGCGCGGCCTATGTAGAAAGTTTCTTGGGCTCCACTGGTCCACGAGAGAAGTCTCGGTAGCCTGAAGCGGGGTTGCAGAAGCTGCCAACGGCAACAGCCGCTTCAGCTTGCCAAAGTTTGCACCTTCGTTACGGCTCTTCGTCTTGGATGAGGACTGCGACTCCTACAACCTCTTCCAAGCCAAGCAGTCTTACAGAGTTGCCTTTAAAAATCTGTATTTGTATATATATATCTATCTATCTATATATATATATATTTATTTATTTAGTTATACACACACACACACTTTTACCTATATATATATACGTATGTATACAGTATACTTATTTATTCGGCTTCCTATTGATTCATCCATAAGTTTTGGTACGTATCTATTTATGTAAATATAAATCTGTGTGTGTGTATCAATGTAAATAAATATGTATATATATACATACATATAGGTATGTATGTATGTGTGTATGTATGTATGTATGTATGTATGTATGCATGCATGCATGCATGCATGCATGCATGCTGTATGTATGTATGTATGTATGTATGTATGTATGCATGTATGTATGTATGTATGTATGTATGTACTCGTATGTACTCGTATGTTTTTTTAATGTGTTTATTTATACTTATAGCCTGCTATATTTGCAATCATATGTTTATTCTATATATATATAGTATGTGTGTGTGATAAATGTATTTCTTTAAATCTTTATATATGTATATGTGTGTCTAAATGTATATATTCCATAATTCCACATCACGTTGTTACGTGCTGATGCGCCCTTGTCTGTGCCACCAAGGCAGAACCAAAGCACTAGCAGCAAATGGTCTCATGGGTCCTTTTCTGCAGGCACAAGCTTATTTTGGACAAACGCAGGGGCTTCCTGCTATGAATACTGGCTGGAAATCTCATCAATCAACAATCTGATAGACTCAGGAGATTTGGTGGGACCGATGGGATCTGTCTGCTCTTCAAGTTACTGGCATCAGCAAAACAAGGTACATAAGCAGCAGGAAGCAACCACCATGGAACTGATCGCGTGTTACGAACAGATCCACGAGAAAGAACGAGAAGGTGTAGCAAGTGCTACGGGAGGTAGATTTCCAACACTCCCGATTACATGACCTATGATGCAGCAAAGCATGCCTGGCATGAAAGAATTTATGAAAGCATTTGCGACTGAAGTGAAGCTTTCCCTTTGTGTATTGCCGCATCACCCTACAAGTGCCCAAGGCAGGCAACCTGCAGGCGACCTGCAGGGAACGTGGGCCCCCTGCAGATCGTAAGCACTGTCAACTAAATCCAAATCTCTTTCGAAGTTGGCTACTCCTGGGCGGTTCCAGTGGGACATACTCTGGTGGTGGACCCCAGCCCGGTGGCAAGGGCGAGTTGAAGACAAACTTGCCACTTGGTTTTTGCCTCGGCAACAAGCAAAGGATCGATGGGACAAATGAGCTTGTGAGTAGGGCTAACGATCATCTGAAACTAGAACTGCTTCATGTTTGCTTCAACTATATATTTTACTCTGACAAGCACCTTTGGGGCCAAAAGGGGCAAGGGAAATGCGATTGCATGCGGCTGCTGCGTCACTGCTGCGCTAGGTCCGCTAGGTATGGGGAAGCCTACAACTTGCAACTGAGCCTCTCTCTGATCCGCAGTATGTGGCTAGTCTCAGCCTTTCGCATTCCTCGGCTGCAAGCGAACTGACAGGTGTTTCAGCCAGATATGTTTGTAATAATATATATATATACACATGTGTGGTAATCAGCCAACACAATAAATAACACTGACCGTATGCGTCGTAATAAAATATAAAATAATATAATATGATATAATATAATACAATAAAATATAATATTATATAATACAGTACAATAAAAAAATATAATATAATATAATAAAATATAATATAACATAATATAATATAATATACTATAATATAATATACTATAATATAATACACTATAATTCAATATAATATAATTTAATATAATATAATATAATATAACATAATATAACATAATATAATATAATATAATACACTATAATTCAATATAATATAACATAATATAATATAATATAATATGTATATACACTTCGTTGTGTTCAGCTCCACTGCGCTGTTGTGACATTGCCAACTTGTTAGACCTCGGTCAAGCTTCGAGGGCTTGCCCCTAGTGGTGCAAGGGCGTTCAGCTTGGCCTGCACATCCAACCGCCGTGCATTCAGAGCCTTTTGCATACGGTGTGCAGTCCATTCCACCTTGCTGATCCCCAGCTCTTGCCAGGTCAACCTCAAGGCTGGGCGGAGGGAAAGTAAAACACACCCTCCCGCAGCAACCAGTTCTTGGGCCAAGAGAAAAAAAAAGACATGCAAACAATGCAAACTCAAAGTGGAGGCACACGTTGCCAGGGTGCACCAGCGTCCGGAAGAGTTGCTTTGCTTCACCATGTCGACAATACTTGAGGAGCTGGGCTACTGCAGCTTGAAATTCGACCTTATCATCAAAGGAGAACGCAAAGTGTACATCTGAACAGCCTTTGGATTCTTTCATATTCTTTCATTCTGCGCTTCATCCTCCCCATTCTCCTAACTCTTAAGTTATATTTATAAAAGAGGCCTGCCTGCACTGGGCGCAAAATGATATACCCACTCTACGACTCCACGCCATCCGCCCCATCTGAAGCGAACAAGTGGCCAGCGAAAGCTCCCCGCTTTTGTTGGCATCGATTGCCTCGAAGGCTTGCGGCAAGGAGCCAAAGGTCTTGATCAAAAAGACCCGGAACTTGCGCACCTCCTATGGCATCTGCAACGGCGCTCGCAGCCAAAACCGTCGCTTGAGAAACAAAGGGTTCTGTGAGTGGAAAGTTGTCATTGTAGATTGATGTCCATAGGGTGAAGGACGAACACGCGACTATGACTATGCAAAGAACAAGAATATGGGGGAAACGTTTGAAAAAACGGGGTGTAGAATGGAGCAGAAAGAGAGGGACGGGACGAATGGCAAAAAAAAAAGTTTTGCACAAAAGAACGAGAGCAGATCCCATACAAGCAATAATTCAACATTCCAACGCGGACAGCGCAAGAAACTCACGGACAGATGGAAAAAGAAAATGTCATCGGAACATGCTATCGTCTGTCACGGCTTGTGACAACGCCTCCAAGGAGGTGGTGTGTTGTGCCTGGTATTCCTTTTGATGTCTTCGAGAGCTGCGTTGGTGTAACAAGGTAGGTACATACTAGCAGCGCAAACAGTTGAAGCAGGGCATCCAGCGTTGAAGTATGGCCAAGGCATGGTATGGTAAAATTTGCTGCTAGCAATGGCGTAATCCTTTCTGAACCTGCAAGCTTGCATGGTGGCATTTCTATCAACGCCGGCAGCAGATGCGGCAATTCACACACAACAAAGTAAAGCACTGCAACCACTCAAGCAACCTACCACCTGGACGAGCAGCCAAGTGCAACTTCCAAGCGTACTGAATAAATTGAGAAAATGTATGTGATTCTCACACTCATTCCTCTGAACATGCAACGCACCCAAGCAGCTCTACTAACAAAGCATTGGAGAAACGCCCTCATCACCATACATTGACCTCAGGTACCCCCCGCATCCCTCGGCCAACCAATCCGGGGCAAAATGCAGTCGGAACATCAATAAAAGCGTGCAAAGCAAGTGTCCGTGCACAAGCTTTTGGCGAACGCCGCTTCATTCACTTCTGCTCTGCACCCGATGCACACCTTGTAGAAACAATACATGAACCACGGGTGGCGGTGGACAGAAGCTACGCCATCGCGTCATGGTTGTGACGGCTTGATGGACACGAGGAGGGTGGAGCAAAGTTATTCAAAGGCGTGTCAAGGTGTGCCAAGGTCTGCATCATGGCTGGTATCCCGCAAGCCTGTAATCAATATTGGATTGTTTCCGGAAAAAGTCACCTTCGGCACTGCACCAAAACAAGGCAAGAAACCACATTATTTTCCACACACAGTCGCGCCAGAGTTCTTTCCATCATCTCGCAGGAGGACGCGCTAGGCCAAATATTGGAGGAAAGCGTCGTGCACATTGTGAGTTGACCAAGTTAGTTTAGTTGCATTCTGGTGCCAGAACAACCGAAGCGGCTGGCTTAGTATTAGAGGTAAAAGTGTTACGTTTGTTGTACAACTTTCTCCATAATAGCCTCTGCAGTGCGCTTCGCAGAGGGGGGAGGGTCAAGTGAAACTTCACGCGAACAAAGGCTGAGTTGCCCAGATCCCCAACACGATCATTTTGCTAGAAGAAGAGCAACTCCAGCTCGCTACCGCTAGCTTTTGTAATGCATTCAAATGAAGCTAGCAAATGGTCTGAAGAGGTCTGAAGCTGTTGGCAGCGTGCTGCAGCTTTGTCTCCTCGTCCCAGTCCACAGACACCCGATTGGAGTACTCTTCACTTCCGAACAAATCTGAGGATCTGCTCGGGTCCAAGACCCTCGCTGTCAGGAAAGGATCTCGATTCACCCAGCGTACTCCAAGGCGTCTCCTTTCTGCCTTCTTTCGCTTTGTTTTTTCCCAGCTCTGCAAGAAAACGATGTCCTGGAACACACCAAGAACAGATGAGATAAGCTGCTTGCCACACAGCAAATCACGGCAAGCTGAATGTCTTGGAATGAAAATTCAAGCAGGGCCAGGTGGCTCTCCAGCCAATGACCTGGAAATCCTGCACGCAGCTCTCCACCAGCAAACCTTACGATGGAACCTCTCCCTTGGAAACCTCACTTCTCAAAGGGTAACACGGGAATTGAACTTCCGAAGCTTGAATTGGGTTCTGTCTTGAAATCACCTCTCCCCGCGGCGAAGCTTGCATGTTCCCAACACAGCTGATTTCCTGACACATTTGCGTCAGATTTGTGGTGGTTCTTGGCTCATTTTCAAAACCCTGCCAAGTTTTAGTTGCCTCTCAAAAGTTTGAAGGAAACTTGAAATTACTTCAATTGAATCAAACTATATATGTTATTTTCTATTCAAAGCTCTTTGGTCTTGAAGGTTCAGCTCTAAGGTCCTCCACAGACAGGTTGCGACTACCGCCTCTCAGCAGGAGATGTTCAAAGAGTTCCTTGACCTGTCGACGGAGATTCGACGCCCGATGCAATTAAACGTGTCCAAGCAACCACTGGTACCCATTCAGCATTTCCAACTCTCGAAACAAACGGAAACTGACATAAACACATTATCCCTCAAAAGCATGTGATAACTCAAACCCCCAATCATGGAAGCATTTGTCAAAAGTTCGTATGGAGATGAAAAGTGCTCCGCGTGAAGATACATCAGAAATGGAAGAAAAACTGAAAAATTTGCCTCCTCCTCATCTTCGTAGCCTAAAGCTTTGCAACCTTCCAGGAATAGTGGAAGGCCAACATGGTTGCTCCGATCTTTGTCCATCACCACCTGAAACAGGGAACTATGAAAATAAAAAAAGTGCCGTGCACTCGTCTCAACTCACCTGAAATCACTGACTGCTTAATTAAAGGAAATTTCCATAGAGGAAACTCCGAGTTACGGACGTTCACATTCTCACTAGCCCAAAGTTCATTAAGTCCAGTTGGCACGCGCCTGAAGTAGAGAAGTAGTTCAAAAGATCATTAAGTCTAGTTGGCACGTACCTGAAATAGAGAAATCGCATGAAATCGCTTAAAAGATCATTAAATCTAGTTGGCGTGTACCTGAAGTAGAGAAGTAGCTCACAATATCATGAAATCTAGTTGGCATGCACCTGAAGTACAGAATTAACCCAACAGATCATGAAGTCTAGCTGGCATGCGCCCGAAGTAGAAAAGTAGCTCAAAAGATCAGTAACAGAAGAGTAGAGTAGAGCAGGATACAATAAACTGGAGTAGAGGAGACCGGAGTAGAGTAGAGAAGAGAAGAGTAGAGGCAACCAGACTAGACTAGAGTAGGGCAGGGCAGAATACAGCAGACAAGAGTAGAGCAGAATACAGACAAGAGTTAGTGTACGGTAGTAGAGCAGAGTAGGCTAGAGCAGACTAGAGTGAATAGAGGAGAATAGAGTGGAATGAAGCAGGATAGACTAGAGAGGAGAAGAAGAAATGATGTGTTTTTGCGTGGAGTGTAGTAGTGGTGGTTGTAGTTGAAATGCTACAAAACCCTCACGTTTTGCTCCCTTTTTAGCAAAGTGCAGAATCCCTTGCGCCTGCGACATCCGAGCGTCCAAAAGTGCTCCGTACTCCTAAGTTTTTTCCACTTTTGACCTCGAAATGTGCTTCGCCCCACAACAGCGCGCACTTTTTCGACATCTCAACTTCAAAAAGTGCTCTGAACCTGGTGTGTTTTGTGATGTGCTTCGCACCGCAACGGCGTGCACTTTTTCGACATCACAACTTCTGAAAATGCTCCGAAGCTGAGTTGCTTTGTACATCTTGACTTGGAAATGTGCTTCGCGCCACAACGGCGTGCACTTTTTCGACATCACAACTTCCAAAAGTGCTCCGAACGTGAAGTGTTTGTAGCTTTTTCACTGGCAAACGCGCTTCGCGCCACAACGGCGTGTAATTTTTCATCTCTCATCTGGCCAGATGGCTCCGCACCCGCCGCTTTAGCGAGCCTACTTTTCGACCCTCTGGCGCCACAAATCATTGGGAAAACACAGTGAATCGCGACTTTTCTACCTTTTCCCGCCTGCGTCTTCTTTCTTCTGACTCTTTCTCTTCTCTGATCTTCTCTCTTCTGCTCTTCTCTTCTCTGACTTGTCCCACCTCTGCTTTCCATATGTCCATACTGTCGGAAGTTTGACTTCTAAACTTCCTTCGATCAATATACTATCTTTGTTCATGTGGGAAGTGATATGTTCAGTGTGTGTTAGTTGACATGACATGTTTTGCATCTTTTGGAGCCCAAACAATTGCAGAGGTCCTATGTCATGTTTTTTTCGAGGCACTTTACGGATGACACGGGACTTATGCATGTTTCTTTTTTTTCACTTTGCAGATGACATGGGAGTTCGCGTTTTTTGGGTATGTCCGACTACTCCCATGTCATCTGCAGGTACTATAAATGCAATATCGGCTCTGGAAGAAACATCAAGGATGCTGTTTTTGAAAGCTCGAGGCGCCAGAACAAAATCCATTTGCGCAAAGCGATCAGGGGACCATGGGGCCTTGAATCCTTTCAGTCAGAACCTCTCTTTAAAGGTACATGTTTTGTGTGTGTAAAAGCTTGCTCTGTGTAAAAAAGCATCTCTGTGTGTAAAAGCTTCGCCGTGTAAAGGCTTGTGTGTAAAAGCTTGTTGCGTGTAAAAGCTTGCTGTGTGCAAAAGCATCTGTGTGTAAAAGCTTCTGTGTGTAAAACCTGGCTCTGTGTTGAGCGGAGCTGAGAAGATGTGGCAAGAGGTGAGAAGAGTTGAGACGAGTTGAGAAGAGGTGGGCAGAGGTGAGAGTCGCTGAGAAGAGTTGAGAAGAGCCGGGAAAAGGTGAAAAGAGTTGAGCTGAGGTGAGAAGAGATGAAAAACTTGAGGGCTGTTGGAAAGAGTTGTTAGAAGAGAATTGGGAAGAGCTGAGATAGCCTGAGAGGAGCTGCGAAGAGCTGAGAAGTGGTGGCCACAGTTGAACAGGGGTGAGGCAAGATGAGGACGATTCACAGAACAGAGTTGAGAGGACGTGAGGCTTCACTCCAGCTCCTATAGGCTGCTGGAAACTTCCGCCAGCCGCCTTGTGCGGGTTCTACTTTGTAGAAAGAAAGTGCCGAGATTGTGTTCTTTGGTTCACGTACAGGCACTGCTTCTGACTGCCTTTGCTCTGACATGGCGGGGCCTTCCACATGTGCTCTATTGACTTGTGGTTCATCAAGCTCATCACTCGAAACTTCTCAAGTGCAGCTGCAGCTTTGCGATCCAACTCATCAAATGAAATAGTGCCTCCACATCACAAGCACGGTTTGGTCAGGCCAAGAATCAGAATGTCCACTGCAACCCGAAATTTTGCGCCTGAGTTTCCACCTTCAAGCAAGTGCCAAAGTGTCCGGATGTTGCCCACGTAGCCCAGCCTCCGGAGTGCCTGCAGCCAAGAAGGCGGAGAAAATGACGCCCCTTCCAACATCATCATCATAGACTATTTCAATTTTATTCTTGTTCACCTGGGAAATACTTCAAATCTGACAAGTGAGCATCTGATGCATCTGAAGCATCTGCTTCCAACACCTCGCAGAACTCTCGCATGTCCATCTTGCCGCTGCCATCGACATCCAAGCCCAAGCGCCATGCACGAGAGAGGGTGCCAAATTTCGATACTAGCGCCTTGGGTCTTAACGACATATCAGTTGGAATTGTGGAAACAAGGCCGCCTCGCACAGTTTTAACACTTGGCCCTAGGCACCTCATCAATACCTTTGGCAGCAGTCCTCATCCAAAGAACAACCCAGCTACATAATGTATCATAATGTTATGAAATCAAATTTAAGCTAAAAATTGAGCTGGGCGGCATCCTTAAACTCGTCGACCGCATTGCCACCACCAAAGAAGGTGCTAGAGGTCCTTGAGCCGCCTTCCACCAAGCCAGCCTCCACCATCATACGACGACGCAAATGTGGACCTGGAGTAGAGCATTCGTAAGGGAAAAAAACAAACACATCAAACACCTTAGGAGCACCGTTGCCATCCAAAACATTCTGAAACCACTCACTGCACATTGCTCTCTTGTCGGCCCAAGCGACCGGAATTCCACCACATGATGCCGTGGCGAGATGGAACTCATGACACGCGCTACAAGACAATCCTTCTACCTTGGCCTGGTGAGCCCAAATGTTATGGAGGAGCCAAAGCCTGAATCACACAATGCTCAAATCATCAAATCAATTCAATCAAGAATAACCAGGCAACTCAAACAGATAGGCCGCTAGGCCATATAGATTTTCATCATGGAAATGTACACTTAGAATCTCACTGGGCCGCACCACAAACAACGTAAGTGGGCCGTACTAATGAATCTATGCGAGGCACTTCTCGAAGGTAGTTAACACACGGGGCAGCCCAATGCAAACCAAGAGCCGCATACTTGCCGTCTGCAACTGTCGGGTGGCCGATGTGAGCAGTGTGCAAGCCTGACAAGCAGGTCACCATGCTCAGCTCTTCATCTTTGGCTTTCAAAGTGTGAGATTCTGGTGAAACTCTGATGGTTGCCGTCTGTGATGGGCCACGTTGCTGAAGCTGTGAATTCTGACAACTTCTTGCTTCCCAGTCACGGATCTGATGCATACGGCCTGTCACCAACTGCACGGCCACCAAGCATAGGGCTGAAGTGCCAATCATGCAGTAGCTCAAGGTCTTCAGTCCTTGGACACCGAAACCTAAACTTGGAACGAAAAAGGAACATATTTGCAGAACTGTTTGAGTGGTACGTCTGGTTCAACAACTAAGGGAAAACCCTCCAATAAACTCACATAAACCGTACACCAACCCCAAACCGACCTTGAATAAACCTAAACCAACCCAAAATAGACCCGAAATAAACCCTATGTAAATAAACTTAAAAACCAACCCTGAGTCGTAGTTGCTGAACCGTAGTTGTTGAACTGGCGGCAAGGGTATATGATTTCTGAACCGGTAATGTTGAAAAGTGAGTGGTTGCTGAACTGTAGTAGTTGCTGAACCGCGAGTTGTCAGAGATGGCTGAAAAAGGACAAAGAGGCTCGAAATCAAAGAGGAGAAATAGCCACATCTGGTCACTCTGTGCATTGCGTTGTTGCTGAAGCGGGGTTTGTTCGCCGAGTGTCTGCTGCATGCCACCCTGCCCTCTCCTGTCACCCTACTGTAGTCTGTGAACCCTCCTTGCAGAGTGTGCACACGGGCTGTCACAGGACCACGGCGCGGCAGCCAGCCGTGACAAAGCACAACGTATTCCTCGCTTCGGGGGCCGCTTGACATCCGCGTTTCTTTGATATTTAAGTTGAAAACGGCAATGGATGATCGGCTGCCAGACTGAACAAAGCCGCTCGATTTCAGGACTTGGCCAAGTCGCTCGAAGCATCTCGCCTCAGATTGAGCTGGCGACGGAGGAACGTTCCGTACCCAGGGTCATGGATCCATCCGCTTTGTGAAATATACGCGGAAGCAGGAGGCTGCAGGCCCTTCTGCTACATAAGCACATGCCCGTTGTGAAATCCTTTAACGACCATCAAAGTTACCTTTTTGAAGTTGAAGACGCAGGTCAAAGTAGGCAGCATATGTTTTTGCCACCAAGATGAGGCCAGAGCTTGGAACATCTAAACCTGCCAAACGGCTGAATCTTTCGATCTGTAACATACAGGCGGTGCCCCGCAGTCGCAGAGTGTCCAAGGGACTGAAGCTCTCAGGGCACCACTTCTGAGATCTTCTGAGGTCTTGACGGTGCAGAAAGCCCTTCGTGTTGGCCTCATCCTTCAGGAGGGGCCATTGACGAGCGGGAAAGATGTTTTGAAGGAAGGCTCCCAAGGGTGCTTCGCCTCAGACAATGTGGTATGTTTTTTTCGGGTCGAGGGGCTCAATGACTGAACCCAAGCGTGACAGCTGATTGTCATGATGTTGAATGACTTGACCTTTGGAGACGCTAACCTTCGGTACAGACCGCACATTCGACCCTACCGACGGCTCACATTCGACCCTATACTCCAATCAGACCACATGCGTTTTCATTTGACCCTGCCCAAATCTGTATTTTCAGGTTTCAGCAGGGGTAACCACTATTATCTCAAGTAGACTGATAAACTTAATGAATCCGGTAAGCTATGCGGCGCAACTCTATTTCTCTGAGCCGCAATGCTATAGTAGAGATACTATGTTACAGGGTGTTTTATGGGCATGTGCAAATTAAATACACCCCCCTCAGGTGAGCCGCAACGGCAAGACTGGCCAACTTACCATGGCGTGAGCTTTATACTCAGCCTTACCAACATGGCCCACATTCGCACATTGAGGGAAAACACCAAACGCGGCTATTGTACAAAAACAATCATCTGCACCGTGCTGGCTGATCTCAACATGTTTTCACCACTGCTCCCATTCAGCGCGACGGTAGCGAATGATCTTCTGGTACCAGACACCGTACCACTTCACCCATTCACCAGTCTCATTGCGTTCTTCTGCAGCTGGGGCAGGATTGTCAAGCCAAGCACGTGCCGATGCGGATGAGGATGCAGCTTCTACATTCGGAGTTGTTCGGGTAGCCGGATTAGCGGTGCCTTTTTTTGAGGGAGCTTGTCCAAATGCAGCAGTCTGCTAAGCTTTGCGCTTTGCCTCATTCTTCTCTTTGGCTCGTTGGGACTGCTTTTTCTTGTCTTCCACATTTTTGATGAAGATGTCAATGTTTTGCTCCTTGATGTATTTCAAATGTCGCGCAGCATCATGAACTGCCACAGAATCAACCCCGGGTTGGACAAAAGAAGGTTGTGAGTTGGGTTCCCTTCTAAATACTCAACGTACTCTTCATCTGAATAAGTTTCGGCTTTGAACATGTATAACCAGGGTTGTCCAAGGTATCGGAATCGATCTGGGGCATCCTTCTCATTGGCGATGTCGAGGTAGACAAGCCGCATGGCATTGTGCTAGAGCTGGGAAACCTCCGATGTGCCAAGACGAACCTGAGCTTTGGTCCTGTCAGGCTTTGGGAAGTGAGCCGACTCCAGCAATTCATAGCGCTCGCAGTCGTACTCATTGACGCCCTCATCCAACAAGCTTTCAGCGAAGGTGGCATCTTTCGAAAACCGGTCCAACACCGACTTGTAGCCAAGGTTCACCGCCCTCTCAAACCTGGATTTGGCACGGTTGAGAAGATCTGCCTCAGGACTCACACTACCACGTGCCTGATCGTCCAGAAGCCCGAGCGAATCCAACTGACTGTTGGTGATCTGCTGGAGGAACCCACCCTTGAAATCATAGTACAATCCAAGTTTCCTGAATTCTTCCTTTCTGCGCTTGGCGATCTTGGTGCGGTTGGCCTTTTGTGGCGTGCAGCATAAGTCCACAAATGTCACATTCAATCTGTCCTTTGAAAACCTCTGCGCAACATCTTGAGCAGGTGCTCGCTTCAATCTTCACTGGCTCCACCTTCGCGCTTGAGTCTTTCCCCTTCGGCTGTGCTTTCTTCACCAGGGATTTGGATTCTGCCGCTGTTTTGGAGGTCGTCGCACCCGGTGGTGGGTGTGATGGCTCCTTTGGCACCGCCTTTGGAGGAGGAGGTGCTTTCGGAACTGGCTCCAAAAATTTCGCTGCCGATGATGCTGCTGGCACAGGTTTGGGCTCGCTTGTTAGGCCTTCTTCTGTGCTGGCTGACCACTGGCAAACTTTTCAGCAGCTGGGCGCAGCTTTTGGGGTTTCTGCCTTTGGCACTTGTGGAGTTGCTCGTACAGCGCCAGGCCACTTGATTGGTGGCGATGGCTTCACTTTTCCTGGAAACTTCTCAACTGGGTCTGTCAGAGGGTGCTGCCACAGTGCTTGCGGCAAAGGGAGGTGAAGTGTTCGCCTCAATCCGCTCCACCTGCTGTTGAATAAATTACTGCCAACTCCGCTGATCTTCGCAGTTGGATGGTCTCCTGATGATGCCTGTAGAGGTTGACCTTGCGCTCGGTGCCGTCAACTGACAAAAATCAATTGTGCTGGCACAACATCCCGAGTCAAAATGCCTTCTGATGCAGTTTTGATGAAAATGACACCGGCCTTCACGGCCTCAGCCATAGCGACACGAATTTCGATTGGTCTGTCAGCACGCAGTCCAGACACATAAGAACCCTCTGCGACCCTCACTTCAGAAAAGTAGCTGTGGGCACGACCAGAAGAAACTTTGTCACCTCCACCTGGATTAAATCCGCCTTTGATGATACCTTTCCAATTTGACTTGGTTGTGCGATGATAGATCACACCGGGGGTTTCATCAGCAGTGACAATGGGCTTCCCAGTTGATGGAATCTTCGCCAACGCGGCTCCACCAGAATTGGCATAGATCATCGTTGCATTGAAGGTGTCCGATGCGGATGCCCTTGTGATTGCCTTTTGGTTGTGGCCTTGCACGGCCCGAATTTTGAAGGGCCAATAGGCTAACCCTTTACGGGTTGCCAACTGCAGGCTTGCTACAAGCAGAATTCAAAGCGACACTTGTTGTCATGGTGAAGCACTGCCAAAAGTTCCTCAACATTTGGCCGGGCGATCTTCTTCGGCAGCATCCTGTTGAAGAGTTTGGAGAAGTCGTCCAGGCCGAGCCACATTTCATCATCAAAAAGGCTCGTGTCCTGACCAGGCTGTCCTCTGGTGACTGCATTCACTTTTGCTCGATGCTCCCAGGGTCGTTGGGGAAACCTCAACTTTTCAGCCCCTTCCATTTCCCAGCAAGTGCGAGTGATCAGCTCAAATGGATGCTGGTCAACCACTACATGCTCCACCTCCTTCCCATTGGTGCCCTCGTCCATGGCGCACCGGTATTTTTGAACCTGACCTTTGGTGTGAGTTGGATACACCGCGTCATCATCTGCATTCTCGGGAAGGGACGCGCCAGTTGAGGCGGCCTTCGGTGCAGCTGGGTCCTTCGCAGCAGGCTTCGCAACAGAAACTTTCTCAGGTGCTGCATGGCTCGCTCTTGCCTTGCCAACTGATGGACCCTCATGTTCATTTGGGCCCAGAGCTGCCTCATCGTCAACCTCGTCGTAGCTCATGTCAGGCGACCTTGCCTTGATTTCTTCTGTGGTAAAAGATTTAGGCTCAGTCACACTGGCTTCCGACTTGTTGACTTTTCCTGGGAAGCTCGGAGTTCATGACAAGAAATAAGAAGGGCCTCACGCCGTGGTGGGCGATCACGCAAAGTAGCCTCTCCTTCAGCCCGTCTCCTCTTGCCATAGCACCGAGAAGTCTGGGCACCGAGGATATCGTGGAGCATCGCCATGTAGTAGCAAATCATCTCCGACCTGTTGCTTTCACTCTCCATTGCGTGGAAGAGGTCTCTCAGCTAGCGATCCCTGCCTCGGTGAACATAGAAACCAAAACGATTTTTGGCAACATGACCCCACCAGCAAAACTTGGACAAGGCATCATCTCCAGCCATGCAAGAAACTGTTCGAGCCCGGTGATGAAGGGGGGGAGTTTGCCAAGTCGCTTCATTCAGAACGGGTTACCATGTTCGACAAAAATCTTGAATTCAAAGGTCTTCCAGTTCTCAACATGCATTTTTCAGATGAAAACTCAACAAGCATTGAAGACGACATAACTGTGGATCAGAAGGTGCAGACAATCGACTTTTGGACAGGCCGGACAATCTTCAAATACGGGGATGAATCTGGCAACTCCAACCAATTTCGCCCTCCCATCAAAGAACAAACCTGGACCACATCGGGACAAGAGGGATGCCAAGAACGAGAAGAAATCTCAAAGGTTCAAAAACATTGAGAGTGTTATTGAAAACAAGAACAGCTGCATGACCAAGCGAGTAAATCTTGTTAGGTATGACATGTCTTCATTTCTAGAATCTTGTGGTGATGCTTGCTGTGAGTTGGCTAAAGCTCAGAAAGATCAACTGCCAACTGTCTCTACAGCCGTCTGAGAATCAAAAACATGTGCAAAAGGGTGAGCCTTTCTTGGGAGTGTAACGTTGTTGAACTCCACATGTTGACAGCCAAAATATCTGTCATATGGCTCTGGTTCCCCAATGTTGACAGCAAGACGAATGCTGGCCCATGCTTTGTCCATGTTCTCGGTCGGACCTGCAAGTTTGAAATCGTCCACATAGACAACCAACATGCACTTGCATTCAGCATGATCAAAGCTACTTTGCCAAATGTCAGGAAGAAATTGTTCCAACCTTCTTTGCCACTGCTTGGGTTCAAATGATTTTCCCAAATACCTCCACTGTCAGGGTGACCGTGCAATGCCAAAACCAATGGAACCATAGGTTGCCAAAACTCTTTGCTCCAATGTTCTGGCCAGCGGTTTCTCAGAAGTGAAAGCCATGCGGGCACCCCAGTGAAGAGGGCCTGGATATAAGCCCGCCTGAGCTTTTGAAAATCCAGGTTGTGAACCAAACGCATCAAGGAGTTTTGCAGCTTCCATCGGTGCTGGGCTGGAACCAAGCTCTGCAAACAACGCATGATCTGAATCTTGATCACGAACGTTTTCCCTGAAAGACAGTGCGTCCCTTGAACTTTCGTCGAAGGTCGTCTGCAGGAAGTTCGGAACCTTTTTCGTAACAGGCTTTAAAAATCCAGCAAAAATGCACCGTTTCATTGTTCTTGCGAGCTTCGTCCACGATGCTTTTGCACTCGCGAACTCTAGATTCATCCCAAACCCCTTTGGTTCTCAAATTTTCCCATTCCTTATCTAAAGCGGAGTTTGCCTTGGGATTCTTTCTGACTTCATCTTTTGGAACCAAACGTGCGACAGCACAAAATTCTTCAAGTGCAACTTTGAATTCTAGTTCTTGGATCTTTCTCTTGATCATTTCCCTTCATTCCGGTCGGTGCAATTCAGCTTTGGCTGGTGCAGCCTTTGGCATGAATGATTTCCCAAGACTGGAATGATTTCCCAAGACTCTGCAGAGACTGGCTCACCTGAGGGGCTAGGGTTTACCGGAAGCTTTCGCGCACTTGCTGCGGTTTCTTTCTTCTTCTTCTTCGAGCCCCTTGTGGCGGCACTTGATGACGCGCTACCACTGCCTGACATCTTGTCGGCCTCCTCAACGATGAGCTTTTCTCTGTCCTTTGGACTGAGCATTCTCCACAAATCTGATGGAATAGAGTCGGGGCGCTTTGACCCTTTGTATGTCTTCACACGACGAGTGCCATCCCAGTGATAGCCATCCGGAATGGGTTTTCCTGTTGGACTGTATTTGATCTCAGGGAACATTTCTTCTTCGGGTGATTTGTCATCATCGGCAAGTACATTAAGTACTGCCTCCGTTGATTTGTCAACTGCTTCTTCACTTTGTTCAGCAGGCCTTAATTTCGTCATGTGTATCCAAGTCTAACAAAACCTGGGGATTCATGTGTAACTGCTTTCAGCCACTTTTTGTCGCAAAAGGACGAGGTAGGTGCAGTTTACACTGACAACTCACGTGAACTGATTGCTACAATTGGGGAACTTGGTTACCGTCATCAAACATCAAGGGATCATGTGGACAGCTCAAAGTCTTTTGTTGAGCGAGAGATCCAGCATATGCTTGAGGGCACTCGGACAAATCTGGTCCAGTCGGGTCTTCCATTGCAGTATTGGCCGTTGGCCACTTGCCATGCAACATTTTTCACTTGCAGCCAATGCTACTCCGCAGTTGAACGGTGATGACGCCCCATGGAAGCTCAGATTTGATGACGATTTTCCAGGTTGATTCCATTTGGTGCAAAGATACTATTTTGGAACAACCCAAAGAGGGCTGACAATTCTTCTGGAAAGATGTCCCCTACAGCGAATGATGGTGAATTTTTGGGACACCACATTCAACCTGGTTTTGCATGGAAGGGTGAGTATCTTGTAGCCAAGCTTGAAGCTCTGGACTACCATGCCGAAAACGGCAGCATCACCGTGCAGCGTGCACGACGCATAGAGCTCATCGCAGGATGATTCGTCTTCCCACTCCGTGCGCTGCAGGAGGCCAAAGAGCCCAAGCCGGATCGTCTTCAAGACAATGTCATTGCTGATCCACGTCCAATTCCATGTCAATCAGAGTTGCAAACGGATGAATTAGGGGTCACAGAATACAATCAGGCAAACAGCTTTTGAGGCCTTGATAGACCATTCCTTGTAACTGTACCGTTGGCCACTGGCCTTGGCCCATTACAGACACAATGCTCCTGGCAGGGGCTTTGAGACGGAAACACACGCAAAAGTCTGGGATTGCTTCGCGCTGCAATATGCATGTATGCATGCATGCATGCATGTATGTATGTATGCATGCATGCATGTGTGCATGTATGCATGTATGCATGTATGCATGTATGCATGCATGCATGTATGCATGCATGCATGTATGCACGCATGTATGCATGTATGCATGTATGCATGCATGCATGGGTGCATGTATGCATGTATGCATGCATGCATGTATGCATGTTTGCATGTATGCATGCAAGCATGCATGCATGCATGCATGTATGCATGTATGTATGTGTCAATGTTTGTCGATGCACGTCAATGTATGTCACTCAATGTATGTATGTATGTATGTATGTATGTATGTATGCATGCATGCATGCATGTATGTATGTATGTGCGTGTGTATGTATGCATGCATGCATGCATGTATGTATGTACGTATGTATCAATGTACGTCAATGCATGTCAATGCATGTCAATGTATGTCAATCAATGTATGTATGTATGTCTGTATGTATGTATGCATGTGTGTATGTATGTATCAATGTACGTCAATGTATGTCAATGCATGTCAATGCATGTCAATGTATGTCAATGTATGTCAACGCACCTCAATGCATGTATGTATGTATGTATGTAACAATGTACGTCAATGCATGTCAATGCATGTCAATGTATCTCAATGTATGTCAATGTATGTCAATCAATGTATGATAATATATGTATGCAATGTATGTATGCATGCATGCATGTATGCATCCATTGTTCATATGGAGGCCATCTCCACTCATGTGCACACGATCGAACCCATCTTGCGGTTCCAGCCACACACCTTTGCTCGCAACAACAGGCTGGCTGACCCAAGCTAGCCGAGGCCGATTGTAGGGCAGCATGTCAGAGGGGCAGAGCGCCAACGGCTCGACACTCAACTCAACAGAGATCTGCGCCTGGGCCGCAGTATCCATCCTGAGCACATTTTCAACCACGAAGTCAACAAGTGCCGTGCGGCCAAAGACATCCTTGATCCAACCAATGAGCTGCTTGAGGTCCTAGAAGAACTGCAAGAGATTCTTGCGCCCTGCCCGGGCTGAAGATAAGTGCACACACGGGAATCCCCCAATGAGGTGCACATGGGTTGCCCGTGGGAACATGTTGGCCCACTCTTTAACATGCCTCTTGGTAATGAGCTCAATGTCAGCATGCTCTATGACGTTGGGCCAGGCCAAGCCTTTCTTGTCACGCGCTGTGCTGCGTGGTCCCACTCAATAGCGATCAATCCAGCAGGCTTGACTCCTGCCAGGTCATACCCCCGGAAGGCACCGCCAATCCCGTTACGGCTGATAACCTGTATTTTCAGGTTTCAGCAGGGGTAATAACTATTATCCCAAGTAGACTGATAAACCTAATGAATCCGGTAAGCTATGCGGCACAACTCTTTTTCTCTGAGCCGCCATGCTATAGTAGAGATACTATGTTACAGGGTGTTTTTTGGGCGTGTGCAAATACAAAATCAAAATAAATAACTTTGACAGCAAAAACAACCTGCGTCCGTTCAGATTCGACCCTACCTCCACTTTTGGCTGGGGTGGCACACCTCCAGGCAGTGTGGGGGTTGGGTGGTGGGATGTTAAAAGTTCACTAACACTTGCAAACCAAGGATGGCGCACCTCCAAGTGCATGACATAGCGACCTGTCTTTCTCAAGTACAACCGCCTATTTCTCACATTCGACCCTACCGCAGAACAGTTGTAGGGTCATGTGCGAGAACAATGGGGTAGGGTCAAATGCGAGGCGCATACCTAACCTTCCCCCATGGACACCCTGGCAAACATCTGCTGGCCCAATTCCCATCTTCTTGCTCCCATCATCATCATCATCAGCAGCAGCAGCATCGTCATCAGCATCAGCATCAGCATCAGCATCATCTCGTTTTCCTGATCTTCATACTCCTCCTGTTCATCATCATCTTCGCAATCATCTTTGTGTTCATCAAACACACTCGAACCACCGCAGCAGCGGGGGCATGGAAAATCTGGGGAAGGTGTCACCAAGTCGGGTCTCCAAGTTTCATTTTATGGATTGTGGCAACGGGCTTAGCAGGGGAACCAAAAGGGAAACTAACCTAACCTCCCTTGACTTAAATAGTCGGCAGGCCTAAATAAACCCAATATTGGATTTACAATTCCGAAAATCAAAGCCAACCAGCTGGCAATCGGCACATCAGCTTTGATCCGTACAAAATCCCCATTAATCTGCAACTTGAGCGTGTGAAGTAAGTTATCAAACATTGCATGGAGGGCGTGCGGCTAGCGTCATTGCGCAAGTTTGAAGCGAGTTGCTGTTTCTATCTGTGCTCGAATCCACCTGCCAATGTGGTGGCTTGCTGACCACCACTAGGTCCTCTGATTCAAATCGCACAAGGTGCGATTCTTGATACGAAGGTGGCACGGGCAGGGCAGCCACCATCTTCCTGCCAAAGCTGTGGGTGCCATACAAAGCGTGGCTGGCTTGGCTTAAAAGGCAAACTGAAATAGGCTGAATGCCAAAGTTGATACAGCACATCACATTGTCACATGATTGTCACATGATTCACATGATACAAACAAGCAAAGAAAAAGTATCAAAGCAGTATCCTGTCGAGAAGCACAGCCGCATCATGAAGAAAGGCTTCAACTGCCTGCAAAGTCCTTGAAGCATCCGGCAACGTCCCTTAAATCATGCACAAAACAAACATCCGCCACACTACCATATAGACATAGTAAGAAAGTGTCTCCCCCAATGAGCATTTTTATGTACGAAGAGTGATCGAAGAGAGTTTTACCGTGTCCGGGTGCTAGGAGTCGCGTCACTCTAGGGAAGTTGGAAACATCGTGAACTTGGAATTTGGATCCTTCAGTTGCGGAAACTGCAGCTTCGCCTGCCGCGTAGGGCGCCGAGAGTGCTACACGACCATACTGTTGTGAGCATGGAAGAGAGGAAGTCCAGCACCACGCCGCTCTGCCTCAGAATCAGGATACTGGGTTTTAAAGGATCAGCACATGCTCCCTATCGCAATGCATCCTGTCACGCCATGTTACTACGATATCTGGGTTGAACTGGCTTGACGTCTTACAAGCTTCTTCAACCAAAACAGCAAGAGGCTTCCAAATGAAATGAAGATCGGACAGATTTGGGGGGCTCGGAAGGCTTGAAACGTTGACATCGGCCGCAGATGTCTTTTTGGGCACACAGCACCAAAAGGAGTCAGGTCAGGTCTAGTCTGCCCCCTTGCCCTTGCTATGCTCAGAGCCAATGCCAATGGATGTTGTCTGAGAGGCGGATCTGTCTGGACCGGACGTAGCCAATGCCGAAGCTCTCCTTGGCATCCTTGGCATGCTTGCACTGGGCTTGGGGCTCGGGCTGTCCTCGCGTTGAGATGTAGCCCTGGCCTTCGCCACAATTTCAGCAAAAGCCTGATCACTTCGCGTCGCTGTTTTCCTTCGTCGGGCTCCAATTGGGAGCTGCAGCGGAGCTTTCCCTGAGGTTGGAGGATCTTCTGTTTGGACTTCATCAGCTGTTTGCTCTGCTTTTGCCAACAAAGCTGCAAGGACACCTGCACCTTTCAACATGGTTTGACGACGTGCTTTGGTCCTTTCCTCCTGCTCCTTGTCTCTGAAGGAACTGCTGGGTGCTAGTGACCCGCTGGGTTTCAGCGACCCACTGGGAATCAGCGACCCACTGGGTGTCAGTGACTCACTTGGTTTCAGCGATCCGCTGGGTATTAGTGAGCCACTGGGCATCAATGATGTACCTGAAGAAACACATCTTGGCGACTCCGAGCCTGTGGCTCCAAGCGCCAAAGACTGCCTGCGAGCTGCAGGTGACTGGTCAGACTGTCCCAACGTAGCCAGTGCTACAGATGATCTTCGGGCAGGACGAACAAAACCGGGTCGTGATGCAGACGAAGCAGATGCCCTGCGCGCACTTTGGCCGCTTTGATCTTGAAATCCAAAACTCCTCGAGGATGGGGTCCTGTGGGGTGTAGCCGACTCGGCTTCCTGAGCTGAGACAGCTGCAACCTTGCTTCCTCCTCTTGAAAAATTCACCTGTCCCATCATCTGGCTGATCTGTTGTTCCATCTTGGGCTCTGAACCCAGGGATGCTTCCGACTCAGAGCTGGACAACTCATCCGCTCGATCTTTGAGAACCATCTTTGTGAGGACTTTCACCTCATCAAAGGTCATGGCCACCTTCCATTGCAGCGCTTCGGCTGACTCAGCATCTTTCACCTGCTCAAATAACTGGAATCCTTTCTCTGCATTGGTCTTTTTGAGTTCCTCTACTTTTATCATGTAATCTTTGGCAAGTACGACATTCACATTGTCATCCAAGCCTTCCATCATTCCATTCGCATCTTCAATCTCAGCCGCCAAGCTGTCATGTAAGTGTTGCTCTTGTCGGATGGCCTGCTTTAGCTGAGTTTTCCTTCTCTCTTGTTCGTTGGCTTGCCTCTCAATCGCCTCCTTCTCAGTCTGCATCTCCTTCAACTTCCTTAGATGTGGTTAAGTATTGTGGCAAGCAAGTCTAGCATATGTCACATGCACACATAACTACATAATAATAACTCTGTGTAATTGTGACTGTTTACCGTATGATGTCTTTTAAGGTTTCAAGAAGGACTCTGTATTCCACGGGAAAACCGAAAACCGGAGAAGGCAGGAATGGCACATGAAGTGGAAATAAACCATCAAGACAAGCGATGACAAGCGTTCACCCAGCACACACGGTACAGATCGGTACACACTATTCAAGCGGTAGTAGACTCAGGCAAGAATCTCTTTGTGTTCTTTCTGGTCCTCTTCATCGTGAACACGTCGAATGAATGCGAAGTTTGCAATCCGTTGCTCCTCGGGACTGGGCAGCACTGGTAGCCTCTCAATTTGCCAGAGTTTGGGCCTAGTTCGAAGCGTCACTTCACAGATCTTCATCCGACTGTCCTCAAGTTCTGGCACGATGTGTTCAACCATACTGTTGAGGTCCTCAAATCTCCGCAGAAATCCCTCTAGGTTTCTCTGTGCCTTAGTGAGCTCACGAAGATCCTCCTGGTAACGCCTCTCGACAACCTCATTGAAGAGCGACAAGTTTTGATCGTTAAGTCGGGCTCGCCATGCTCCCTTGCCTTCCTCATTCACCACATTTGCAAGTGAGTGTCGTCGTGATGTTCGTCGAGGCCCTTCCTCTTTCTTAGCATTGTAGCGTTCCAATCTCTTCTTGAGGCCCTCGATTTCTGTCTTGACCCGGGCAACTTTCATGGCATATTCAGTTTTGCTCAACGTTTCATACTCATCAGACTCGGGCTCCCATTCCGTTGCAGCGTCGAGGCCCCATCTGCGAACCTCCTTGAGAACCTGACTCGTGACTTGATCTCTTGTTGGATCTTCATCAAACAAAATGGCACGTTGCATCTTATGCAGGGCATGAGCATAAGCATCCTGCCTTTTCGATTCCATCTCAAGAGTTTCCTTGTGCTTTTGCATCTCCTGATACATCTGATGCACCATGTCGAGAATTTCGGAAGGCCGAGTCTCTGGATCCACGCGCCCTGAGCGAAGTTCCGCTTGCCTGGACTGCAAGACCTGCAGGCGGTTCCCTCGACCAGTTGCTGGGCTTCCACGGCTTCCGCTTCGGAAATTCTTACGATTGGTCTGCTGCTCGATACACTGGAAATAGCCGCGCAGCGCTTCATAGGACCGTCGTTCTTTCTCTTCAAGTTCTTCGAGGAAATTGTTGATGGATTGATTCATTTCCTGAAGGGTCCAGCAGCAAGTCAAACATTAAGTCCAGGAATTGTGTTGATATCACATGATGAAGCACAAGGTTTCACAGTGTGCTAATTGACAAGATATGTACCAAGAGGGTGTGCCATCTTTGAACATGCTGTTTTGATCTGTTTTGGTCCAGCACTTATGTCCTGCCATTCTTTGCAAAGTTGCGTTTCCAGTTTATCCATGTCTGAATTCAGCTGCTGGCTACTGGCTGCATTGCGAGAGCAAGACTCGTTTAAGTCTTCGAGTGCATCAAGGCGTTCATCGCACCTAATGGAGCTGATGAGATGTTGTATGCTCTCATCGGCAACCTCAAGGGTCCAATGTCTCAATGCCTCCTCTTCTTCCTCCCTTCTTTTGCTATCGTCCTCATCACTCGAATCCTCCAACAAACTCTGGCGTCGGCCAGGTTTTTCCTTGCGTTTCTCAATGCCATGCGTGAATGACATGCGCGATACGCGCCGGGGTGCTGCAGCAACCTTCTCATGTTCGGGCTGAGGTGGGGCTTCATACAGAGTACCAGCACTTTCTAAAATCTTCGCCACAGTGCAATCCAGACCTTCTTTGATCTGCACCATGCGGCTTCCACCTGGCTGTCCGCTGTGTCTCTGCATTCCAGTCCGCAAAAATGCCATCCCGCCAGGTCAAAAGTGCAAAGATCCCTAAACTGCTAGACATAGAGAGAAGCTGAAACGGGGTGAGTGCCGTTGTTCGGCAGACCCACACTTCAGCCAAATCTCCGGATAAAACACTGGAGGCAACGCTATCAATGCTCAAGCAGAACGGTTTTGATTCTGGAGGGGTCAGTCGTCTTTCGATGTCTTTCGGTTTCTTGTTGTGCTCTTGCCCCCAAACGAATTGCCTCTAAGCATTGGGCTGCAAGGTTCTGGACACCTTAAAATGCTGTACTTTTTGAATAAGGTCCTGGAGCTGAGGAGCTGGTGGTGAGCTGGTGGTGAGCTGGTGGTGAGCTGGTGGTGAGCTGGTGAGAAAGCTCAATTGACGTCAAGGGAGAGGTACAAATCCCTCACAAGACAACACGGATAGGTGAATTCAACGAAATTGGCCACTTGGGGCAAGAGGATTTGGGGATTGGTTTGGGGCCAAAGCGTGAAAAAAATGCTGCTTGGAAAGCTCACTATGTGGTCAATGCTATTTCCACCGCACGTGCTCTAAAGCTTTCGGATAGTATCAGAAGGATTACTCACTCTCATGTAGTTCATTTTCACGACAGCCGCGCTTGAGTTGTGTGTCACCTCATGCACGCAAACTAATTTCTGCAAGCACCTGCAAACGGTGAAACTTCAGCCTTAAGCTGCAGAGCCTTTGGCGCAGTTTGGCCGTGTTATGGCCTTCGTTAAGTACAGGGCATCAAATACATGAAATATATTGAAATATCATGAAATATTGAGTTCAACACGGCTGACGCAGTCATGCGAAACACAATGGTGGCAGAGCAACTTAAGGCTGGCGCAGTATCCTATCTGCCTGCATGGGAAAGTCCACATGCTGGCACACCGCACATCCTTCTAACCTTACCTGAACGCCTGCTCGGGTCAAAGGCTTTGCACAGTTGCCCACAGTTCCTGCAATGTGCAAATGTGATATGTCTTCAAGCGGAAGTTGCGAAAAGCTTGTCCGGATCTAGGCACCCAGCATTCTTCCTTGAGTGTCTCAAAAAGAAAACAAACAAGCTATTCTTCATCACAGGCATGCCAAACGCTCTCTCTCTTTCTCTCTCTCCTCTCTCCCTCTCTCTCTCTCTCTCTCTCTCTCTCTCCTCTCTCCCTCTCTCTCTCTCTCTCTATCTACAGTATCTATCTCTTTAGTAACTCTTTAGTTCTATTGTTGGTGTGCTGCCAATTGCAGTCGCATCTAGTTTGGTGATGCTTGGCCGGTCCTGTGCAGCACCTCAAACGCCGTCTCCTTGACTGAATCTTTGACAGCTTGTTCTCCATCAGTTCGCAAGATACACGGATCCACCAGCAGAATATCTCCACTTCCGGGATCTGCCCCCTGATGGAAATGCACTGCTTTCAATCAAGTAAACGCAAGTCGACCACAATTGAACACACAAAATTAGAAAACTACCTGGATGTTTATTTCAGTCAATCTAGTTTCCACATCTTATTATCCTTGCCTTCAGGTCGAAGAGCATGGCATTGCCGTTTGTTGCCCATGCCACATGATGGAAGAATGCTTGCGAAAGCTCATGAAATTCTTCGGTGCCATCGAGGATGAATTTGGTCACTTCAGCGGAAGGGTAATCAAAAACCAGAATATGGCTGTCCCTACCAGTCAGCTGCGGGATCTTGCTGTCCAAAACACGGCAGCCCACCGGAGCACAGACTTTCACCTGAGGTGACTCAAAGCCACCTACATCTTGTGCAGTTTCTGCAATGAACTTGTTGAAGTTGGCCGCATACCTGGTCGAGTGAAGTGAGATGAAGTGAGAAATGCTTCACTGGAATCTGCCTTTTGCTCTTCACAATCTAGTACATGCATGCACGCATGGATGGATGCCTGGATGGATGTGCATGCACGTGAACATGCACATTCACACAAAATTACTCATGTACGATAGATAGGTAGATAGATAGACAGATAGATGGAATAGACAGAAAGTCAGGAATAGGATGAAATAGATACTGTAGATACATAGGTAAACAGATCGGTAGATGCCGATCCTGTTTCGCAATTGCTGGCGGAGTTGCTGGACAACCTCCTTGCAATCCTGAAGGGCTGCAAGCACTCTATGTAGCTTTTGGTCGGCCACAGATGCACAAATCTGTAACAGAACGTACCGACCAGTACCCTCGATTCGCGCTCGCATAAAAACATGGGGCATGCACACTCGGTCTGTGTCTGGCCAAGTGAAGGGAAACTTCGAACCTGATTCCGCGCGCCGTGCTAGATTGAAGCGAGACATGAAGGGACCATATGCCGCAAGGCCCTCCACACCCTCCAGTATGATCTCATCGGTCAGTCTGAAAGGGTTTGGAAACACCGCTGGGCCATCCCGAATAGGAGCAGCGTCCACCCGAAGCAGTAGCTGTGGCCCATATTGTGAAGCCAAAGCTGCTGACAGTTCCCCTTCCTCTTTGAGAGCTACATCCAGCACATTGCGACACACCGAGACCGCTGTTCCCATCTTGTGTGGGCTCTAGCCTTGCCGTCCTTGTGCAAGAGCCATCCAGCTGCGGACAAGCTGCAAAAAGGAATTGGGAGACCCATTTGTTAATCGAACAGAACCGTTATTACGGACCTAATGAAAAAATTAAAAAATGTGAGAAATGCATTTCTCAGATTCCTCAGGTTCTGTTAGGACGGATTGCAGACTTAGAAGAATCTGAACATCCCGAGCAACCAGCCCATAACAATGCCCACTGCTTCCCCGATCCTACTTCAGAAACATTGCAAACGACAGCTGAACTAGTGACCAATGCTGTAAAAGCACAAAGTGGCTGATCCAAATCGAAAAATGGAATATAAGCCAAGACCTACAGGATGCATTGATAAGGTGAATGTATGCATTGCCCATTTCTCTTTCAGTCCTCCTGCAATGTCTGAAGTAGGCTGCCATCATGAACCTCCAAAATTCCAAAGGACGTTTGACAGTCTGAGCAGAAATCGATCCATTCTGTGAGCGCAGGAACCATCACCTCCAAGTTTGCCAAAGACCATGCTAGCCGTGCATTCTCGCGCCAGGTCAGCTGCCCGGAGATAAGGTAGTTCACGAGCTGGGTCCTCACAAATCATTCAGGTACCCTTCCTCTGCACTGACAAACTGATCCCTAAAAAATGTACAACACATCGGACACATCGTCAATACCGAATGACATGCTAAACTAAGATTAATTAATTCAATTGTTCCGTCAGAACTCTTGACGCTGCACCATGATCATGATCATAATCACGGTACCAATAACGACTATATATATATGTGTGTGTGTGCGTATGGGTAAATGATACTATTTCACGAACCTGAAATAAGGCCATTTTGGGATGATTCCCCTTACAGTATTAACCATGATTCCCGGTGAGGTCGCAATGAGGTCGTTATAATTTGCCCAGATATGTATATATATAATCAACCACCACCATCACCACCACCAGCAGCAGCATCATAGTCATCGTCGTCGTCGTCATCATCATCATCATCATCATCATGACTTCAGGTGGGGCAAAGACAGGGAAGGTACATCGAGAGGGGAGAAAAGGCGTCGGTTCGGAAGACGGACTGAAAATGTGCCCAAATTAAGACCCGGGTGACATCCAAGTCGCCCGACGTCCGAAAAAATACGTTTTGATTGTGCCAAGGAGGCTGCACACCATACCTTGCAAAGCAAATCAACACTGCATCAAAAAATGACGGAAACACAACGAAAACACTGAAACCTCAGCTGAAACTTCTGGAAGATGGGCGGAAGATGTCAAACACATTTCAAAACTTGAAGTGCAGCTCAGCACCATAAAGAAAACGGCATAAAGCAGCTAGCGCAACAGGGACACCAGCAGTACCAAGTTCTGTGGCGAAGCCAGCTTCATCTTCTTGGGATCCAGCAAGGCACCGAGCTCTGCGCGGTCACGTTCTGACCAAACCAACCTTTGGGTCCAGGTGTCCCACATTGTCAGATCTGGGCCAAGAACATCCAAAACTGCGCAGATCTTGCACCACTTCCAGAAGGTCAAGTCATCCTGGTCATCCTGGTCAGGTCCTAGTCATCTGTCCGACCTATCCTTGCAAAGGGAGTCTCAGCACGGCATCACCCTTAGCACATCTTAGCAGCACCCTTGCCTCTGCGCCAGGTTTTGAAGCGCATTGGAATTTGCACAGCCTGACATTTCGAAAATTGTCACGCGAAGAGTTGCAATCTGGTTGTTACTTTATAGCCCGAAAGAAGCAGCAAGCACCGTCAAGCTGCCTGAGGAAATCCATTGGAATTGCAGGGATCTTTGCCACTGCTCCTCGGTTCAATTCCAAGGCTCCTCCTGTCTTTCTGAAATTGTCTCACAACTGTCTGCATCAGCAGTCTCATGCTATCTTCACAATCGCCAAGAGACTGCGTTGTCACAAGCCAAACCTACTACTCCGGCGGTCACCGAATCCAGCAGCAAACCTGAGCTGCACTCTTTGCACTTCGCAAGGCCGCGGGGGCCTACAGTTTCATGGAGGGCAGGAGAAGCCCAAAGCATTTCCCTTTTAAATCCTTTTGTAGATTTGAAGCGAGTAGCTTTGGCTGCCCATGTCCCACACCAGTTCCAGTACAGTTTGCCACCGCTTGGCTTTCTCACAGGCACTCATTGCCGCATTGAAACTGATTGCTGTCCTCAGGTGTAGCATGTGAATGTTGATATGAAATCCCTTTCTCCTTGCGAAAGCCATGATACAAAATGTCACTGCATGTGCTGGAAACAGCTATCTCAACAGCGTAATCCAAAGCAGGATGCCGTTGAAGGAGCATTGATGAGAAGGCAACCAGCAAGGACAAAGCCACCTGCTTGCGACAAGGGTGCTGGTTTCCTTTTGAAAGCCTGCACCGCATGTTGCACCCCAAGCTGACGTATTTTCTGGACATCAGTGAATCAGCGCCACAGCTGAGCTACCAGGACCAAAAGTCAAGCAATCGTTGCTTGCCAGATGCCTGCCATTGAACTGCTCGCACGCAAGCACTGATAGCGGCACAACAACTCACATCATCTCGCTGAAGGGCCTGGAGCATTCAATCCAGTGAAGATGTTGTTTGCAGTGTGCGCAGCCGATGCAGTCTCTGCATCCCCTTCACTCCTACATGTTACACCGTTGAGCCATTGCACCATTACACCGCAAAGTCATGGAATCCTCTAATGAGTCACTGGCCTGCAGTGGCATGCCATACAGCAGTTGTAGAGCCACCTCCCAGCACCCACTGCGCTCGCAGGCTGAGATGGCCGCATTGACACAGATGGTGTTGGGCAAAGTCTGCGATGACCTGAGCTGCTCGGAGCTCTGATGGACAGTCTAAGCCGCCTAAGCCCTTTTGCTGACTTTTTCTGGTCTATGATGGTCTATGTAAGTCTTGGAAAATTTGTGTCACACTTCAGTAGCTATGGCATGCTATGGCATGCTATGGCATGCTATGGCATGCTATGGCATGCTATGGCATGCTATGGCTGCCGCTGTAACAAGATGACTCCGTAGCTGAGATGCATAGTAAACAGCAGCCCGAGGGCTTCTTGCCATGCACCAGCCTCACAATGCTGTGCTATCTGTTTGCCCCTGAAGACCCACGCCCCTACCCCGAATGAACTCAGGGAACTTGACGACTCAATAAAAAAATACGGCGAAAGAGGGGTTCTAAAGCAAATGCGACAAGGATGGCAAACCCTCTACCTGAGAAGGGGGGAACGAAAGCCAGCATCCCATCTACCCCTATTTTCCACCATACTTTTCACTCAGAGACTCTTCAATACATTTCACCCATATACTTTTCACCCAGAGATTTTTCACCCAGAAACTCTTCTTGCACAGACTTTTCACCCATATACTTTTCACAAAGAGACTCTTCACCCAATTTTTTTTCTTGCACATACTTTTCGCCCATATACTTTTCACCCAGAGACTCTTCACCCAGAAACTCTTCTTGCACATACTTTTCACCCAGAGACTCTTCACCCAGAAACTCTTCTTGCACATACTTTTCACCCATATACTTTTCACCCAGAGACTCTTCACCCAGAAACTCTTCTTGCACATATGTTTCATCCATATACTTTTCACCCAGAGACTCTTCACCCAGAAACTCTTCTTGCACATACTTTTCACCCATATACTTTTCACCCAGAGACTCTTCACCCAGAAACTCTTCTTGCGCAGACATTTCACCCATATACTTTTCACCCATAGACTCTTCACCCAGAAACTCTTCCTGCACATATTTTTCACCCAGAGACTCTTCACCCAGAAACTCTTCTTGCACATACTTTTCACCCATATACTTTTCACCCAGAGACTCTTCACCCAGAAACTCTTCTTGCACAGACTTTTCAACCATATACTTTTCACCCAGAGACTCTTCACCCAGAAACTCTTCTTGCACATACTTTTCACCAACATACTTTTCACCCAGAGACTCTTCACCCAGAAACTCTTCTTGCACATACTTTTCACCCATATACTTTTCACTTTCTTGCACATACTTTTCATATACTTTTCACCCAGAGACTTTTCACCCAGAGCACTCTTCTTGCACATACTTTTCACCAATATACTTTTCACCCAGAGACTCTTCACCTAGAAACTTTTCTTGCACATATTTTTCACCCATATACTTTCACCCAAAGACTCTTCTTGCACCTACTTTTCACCCATATACTTTTCACTCAGAGACTCTTCACCCAGAAACTCTTCTTGCACATACTTTTCACCAATATACTGTTCACATCTTTTCACCCAGAGACTCTTCACCCAGAAACTCTTCTGGCACAGACTTTTCACCCAGAGACTCTTCACCCAGAGACTCTTCTTGCTCAAACTTTTCACCCATATACTTTTCACCTAGAGACTCTTCATCCAGAAACTCTTCTTGCACATATAATGGTCCCACATCGGAGCCTCAATTTTACTTTTCACCCATATACTTTTTACCCTCATATACTTTTCACCCAGAGACTCTTCTTGCACATACTTTTCACCCAGATACTTTTCACCCAGAGACTCTTCACCCAGAAACTCTTCTTGCACATACATGTCACCCATATACTTTTCACCCAGAGACTCTTCACCTAGAAACTTTTCTTGCACATATTTTTCACCCATATACTTTCACCCAGAAACTCTTCGTGCACATACTTTTCACCCATATACTTTTAACATCCCCTACTAGATTAAGTGGGGGGGTTGGGTGCCCCCATTTTATAGTACTAAAACGGGGGCACCCATCCCCCCCCGGAGTGGGACCTCTATAAAATGGAAACACCCAAGGTCACAAAACAGGTGCACCTCTATAAAATAAGAAATTTATTTGAAAAAACAAATATTTACAGCTACAAATTTACTGCAAAACCCTCCATCACTATAAAATGGGAGGCCCCAACGTACCCTGGAGCCTAGCCTTAAAATGAAGGAACTAGCCAACTTTCTACTATAGAATAGGAACCCCCAACCCCCTGTATCTTACAACATCCAAAAATGAATGGTTTCTTGAGGGGTTGGGTGCTCTGATTTTATAGAGATTACATGCCCTTCCTGGTAGGATTTTCTGGGGGTTGGGGGTTTCCATTTTATAGTGCCGCAGCGGTCCCACATCCTCCCACCATCATCGCCCCAAAGACACCACATTTTTCTTTAGCCCGGGACGTCCCAAAGCCAAGGGATGCTGACACAAAGACCAAGACTTATTTTCTGGTAGCTTTCCATTGGTCCCATGCTGTCCCATGTCCCAAAAGCCAAGGGATGTCGACAAAAAGACTGGTATCGACGGAGCTGGGTATTTTGGGGCAGCTGGGTATTTTTTTGGGTGGGATGGAGATAGTTTTCCATTTTATAGTGGTCCCATGCTGTCCTATGTCCCAAAAGCCAAGGGATGTCGACAAAAAGACTCCAAGCTGGGTATTTTGTTGTGTTGACAGAGCTGGGTATTTTTGGGGCAGCTGGGTATTTTAGGGTAGGATGGAGAAAAACAAATCCATTTTATAGTGGTCCCATGCTGTCCCATGTCCCAAAAGCCAAGGGATGTCGACAAAAAGACTCCAAGCTGGGTATTTTGTTGTGTCGACTGAGCTGGGTATTTTTGGGGCAGCTGGGTATTTTAGGGTAGGATGGAGAAAAATAATTTTATAGCGGTCTCATGTTGTCATGTCCCGAAGCCAAGGGATGTCGACAAAAAGACTCCAAACTGGGTGTTTTGTGGTATCGACAGAGCTAGGTATTCTGGGGCAGCTGGGTGCTTTCGGGCAGGATAGGATGGAGAAAGTTGTCTATTTTATAGTGGTCCCATGCTATCATGTCCCGAAGCCAAGGGATGTCGACAAAAAGACTCCAAACTGGGTGTTTTGTGGTATCGACAGAGATGGGTATTTTGGGGCCACTGGGTATTTTGGGGTAGGATGGAGAAAGTTTTCCATTTTATAGTGGTCCCATGTTGTCAGGGATGTCAAATTTGAAAACTCCAAGCTGCGTATTTTGGGGTGTCGACAGAGCTGGGTATGTTGGGGCCGCTGGGTTTTTTGGGGTAGGATGGAGTCTTTTGGACTCTTCTTGTCGCGTGCCTTTGTTCGGCCTCAAAACTGTGCGGCTACTGCGTCACAGTCGTGAACCTTTAGACCGTGCTTGCCAGCGAATTGTGTCGCCAAAACAAATTCGGAACAAAAACATGCGGATGCACGGATGCTTGAAGCAGCGGTGGCTGCATGGTGGGGGACCACTGGACGGTCCAATGAATTACCAATGTGCAGACTGGGAGTCTGCCTCTGCAACGGATGCCATGAAAAACTAATTATGGGAATATTATGCGCCTCCAAGTGGGGCTTGTTGCACATTCCATCTACGGTCCATATTGGTTCTGTAACCTTTGGATGTCTCAAAAAAGGATCTTAATTCATGCAACACACGCAAGCCAGAACGAAATCTGGGAGTGCCAGGAACTCCATAGTGCTGTTGGTGGTAGCCCACCTTGGCTAAGCTGGTGCAACCCAATTGTGGCTTGCCGGGGGCTTGATGCCAGTTCTCTCTAAGCCAGGCAAGCATCTTGGACCAAACTCGACTCTGCTGCCGTAAGGTGCACTGCGCCAGATCAGCAAGTGGGCACTGATCAGGGAGCTGGTAGGAACGGTTGTGCTTTCCAGTCTTTTTACTGCCAGCATGAATCAACGCAGGGGCGACAGTACCTGACCATAGCGCAAAGTCAATGTACAACTCCAGAGTGCTCACATTAGGTTGGGTGAAGTCCCATTCCAAGTTATGGAAATAGTTAACAACCCTTCTGGCAAACAACTCAGTGTAGATACATGATTCAATTTTTGTTTCCGCAATCACGCAGGGGATACTAACTGCTTGCTGCTCATCAAACAACAAACGAAATGCAGGTTTAGGCAAAGCATCACCATGTGACTGTTTTTTGGAGATTTGGATGGCTTCCTCATTCATCTGATTCCACATTTCATGAAAGTCATGAAGCCTGCATACATCGTTGGCGCGCAACTGCAAACATTCCAAAATGTCCTGGATTTCGTCCTTCCAGTGTTTTCGGATGCAACTCTTGGCCAATTTGTCAGCATGGTCATTCATAGTGGCTTTCCATTTTTCAATGGGATCAAGCACTTTGGAAATATTCTGGTGGGCACGCACTTTAGTAACCATAAGGTCATCATGATCACGATCAGACATAAGTTCCCACACAATGTGCCAAAGGTCCTCATGGTCATGAAATTTGGGTCTGGTGCCGGCAAGTCTAGCTGACAGAATTGCTGACAAGTTTTCAACAACGCTCGAACAATCAGTGAAAATGTGGATCCTGCGGAAGTCTCGCATGGCCATGACAATAGCCCAAACTTCTGCCCTAAAAGCCGAATGGTCATTGCCTGGAACCGGCTCCGCACATCTTCTGATCACCTTCCATGCAGTGCATTGAATGTATGCTGAGGCAGCAACGCAAAAACTGAGGTGACCCTGACCAATTGCACTGCCATCAGTGAAAACAGTGACATGAGACTCCGTGGCTTCATGTAAACATCTTATCATAGGAATACCGCACTGCTGTTCCAACTTCCAATCAACCCATGTCAAGTCCAAAGGACTTAAAACCAAAAACAGCGACAACGTCTAGTTGTTCGTGAAGCCAACGCATGGTCTCAGCATGTTTATCCCTATGCTTAGCTGTGCCAGGACAAGACCAAACCCTGTGCAAACGACTGTCCTTGGCAGGGCAAAAGGGACACTTGGCAGACTTGGCACCCTTGGCATAGTGTGACAGCGACTCATTGGTAATATGTTTACCGACAGCAAGGTTCATAGAATGGACAACTTTCTCATGGTCCAACTTTTTGACAACCTGCTCAAAACCCTTTACATCCAGGCATTCTGCATCAAAGGAAGAGCGATGCTGCACCAGCTTGCAAACCTGTACGGACCATGAAAGCTCCAAAACTTTCACAACATGATGTTCGCTGTCTTTGACCCAATTGATCTTCCAACCACGTTCATGTTGAATGATACCATGAGGAAGGCATTTCCAACCATGATCATCAAGCGTCCTACGTAAGAAGGCAGTGGCACCAACACGCATCTTTTGAATTGTCAAAGTTTGCAGAAACCAATCTTCAGTCCCGGGAAACACTTTAAAGTATCTTCTCCAGAAAAATATTTTCCGTTTCAGCAAAGCCAACGAAATGTCGGTGCAACCTGTGGTTACATGCGTCGTGAGATATGGATTGTTGCCTGCTCTGGATCTCCCCATGGCAGCGCATGTTGCAGTGCGCAACGTACGCAAGTCTGATGGTGTGTGATACACCAATTCACTACCATATCCAGTTATGCCAGCTACCAATTGTTTGGCCATCCGATTCTTGAAGCTGGTTGGCATGACCCTCTTACCAACCCTTTTCAAAACTCTCACCGCTTTACCAATACGCTTTTGGGAGACCTTTTTGGAGACCTTTCTGCAATATGACATATCACAGCCCAATTCAGTGCCCATCAGTTTCATCGGGACTGTAGTTCCGTCAATGTGAATCTCCTTCAGTTCTCTTCTTTGTTTGGTGTGTGTCGCCCATGTCCAAGATTTGTCTGGTGCAATGCGCATCCTCAACAAGCGCACCAAGTCTGTTAAGGCTGAAACTGCCTTGTCAAGTTGCTCAAGAGCACTGGTGATAACTGCCCAGTTGTCTGCGTAAGCCAAACAACACACATCAGTAGACTGAGCTTGTACCAAAATATGCTGTGTAGCCCAAACCGTAAGAGACATCATGGCAACTAATGACATAGCACAACCTTCGGGGACCCCTGTTGTTGAATCCCATTCATCACCAATCTCGCCAGAAAGCTCCAAAACCCGTCTAAGTTGCAAAAACATGCTGTGCAGTGCTGTTGTATATTGCCAAGGAATGCCCAGTTTTTGCATAGCGCATAGGATAGGGATACGTGGTATCTGATTGAAACACTTCACCAGGTCGACTGTAATGCCCATGCGTGGTGTGTCGTTCAACAGAGCTTGCTCCACTTCGACCAACATCCTTGCAGCTAAACAATCAGCACTCACCCCCGCAGCAGTGCCAGCAATCTGCGGAGGGAGAAATGTTTGGACATGTTGTATGATCTGAGCTGATCGGTATTTGGCCCAATTACGGTAAATGCGTGACGCAATGGTGATGGGCCTAGTCTGCAGGGGACTGGTGGGCTGTTCAGCAGTTTTGCACAGCATCACAACGCGCGCAATCATCAAACATCTTGGCCAGTTAAACTGGCCACGTTCAATCGCCATCAGGACACGGAGTAGCCAACTGGCAAGGCAATCAGGCATAATGGCTAAGTCACGTGAGGTGTATGCACATGCACCTCTGGCGCTTTTGCGGGCAGTTGTTGCAGCATGTCTCTTCCATTCAGCAACATTGAGGGGTTGATATTGGAGTGTAGGAAAAGCATCAATCACCTGCAAGTGACGCAACACCTCATCCCAATTCTCTTCTTTATCTTCACGGGGATCCCTTCTCCACATTGTTGACCATGCATGCCCAGTCAACTCCTGCATTCCAGCTGGATCAGAGGTGAAGCGCTTTTGTGTGAGAAACCAATCATCACAGTTACGCCACTTTACATGTCGATCCAGCGTCAGGAAATGGCCACGTTGATGGGTAACAAAACACTCTTGTTCCTGAAAGTACACAGGAAACTGGAAGTCAAAGTCATGACATTCACCTTCAACTTTCAAAGTGTCACGGCCCTGCTTCGGCCATCGAACTGGTACCACCTTCACCTTAACCTCATGAGCAATTGCATGCAAAGGTGGTACCTCAGCATCACGAACCGCTCTGAAAGCATTGGCACCTCCGTTCTTGATGTCACGGAGCATCCTGCATTCACGCTTATGGCGCAAGACTTTGTTAGTTTCATTCACAATTTCCTGCACATGGTTTTTGGTGATGGCAATCAAGTAACGCAAGTATTCGACCCCTGGGCAACATGAGGGTACAAAAATGCCAAACTTGGTGAGCACAAACTCTTGGAAAGAAGGAGAAAACCCTTTGCTATCTAACACTGCGGTCCACAAAGTCGCACATGCAGCAACAGCAAGTGGATTACCATACTTTTCAACTGCCGTGAGTTGTGATTCCAAGCTTTGCAAACGTCTGACTTGCTTAATCATGAGGCGGATGCACATGGAAGGCTGGCAAATGTCGGGATTAAACTGGTCTTGTCGGCCATGTGGAACAATGGGTGCAGACGGCGCAACCAATCTTTTAACCCTTTTATACCCCCTACCAAAACATTTCTTCGGAAGACGCACCTCATTGCCTATGGAGTCAACGCATGAAGAGGCCAGGCACTGGTCAAAGGCTATGTTGATTTGGCGCATGGCTTCATCCCCATCAGCATGATGTAAAGCATTCTCAAACTTGGGTCCTTGTTCAATAATGCATCTCTCTGCGCTGGTTTCCATCAGTGCAGGGTCAAACATGTATGGGTCAGTAGAAGCAGGCAGCCACCATTTAGAAAGCGGTCTGGTGATGGCTTCAACGTTCAAATCGGCAGCCAACAATGGATGTGAATCAAATTCAAACTCCTCAATCGTGTCACACCATTCAAGTGCTTGGGCAAGGCGTGAATTAAGCAAGATGAATGATCTACGAACTTTGTTTTTACTAGTTGGGTTGGGGCAAACACCACGTCTGTTAGCATCAAAAGCTGCAGCATCAATCCATCCAGCCCGTTGCATTGCAGTCCAACGTGGAATCTTGTCAATGTCGACGTTGAAGTCTCCCATGATCACAGCAGGACCTTTGTAAGCCAGATCATGGTCAAACACTTCCGTGCAAATCCCACACAGAATCGCCCATGGATCAAAGAAGGTTGTGGTATGTGTAGGACCATACATTGCAGCAACATACATGTGGGTACCATTGCCAACATCCACCAAACATTCGGACAATCTGGAAGACTGCTCAGCTAAGGTTGTGGGAACTGCAGGGTAAGGCTTAAGCTTAAGGTGAGAAATCACACATGTACCTGAGGCCTTTCCTCTGTACAAACCGGCATCTGCAGTATGTTTGGCAACTGGGGAACTCCATGACGAATGGAAACCTGCTTTTTTGAAACGTGCTTTGGAAACCTTCATTGCATCTATGGTATGCGAAGTCTCTGCACCAGCCCAAATACCCGGGCCCCATTCAACAATCACTTCTTCTTTGTTAAGGATCTGGTGTGGGTTGAAAGTTCCCAGTCGCATTGGGCCGGGATGATCTGCCTCGCCAATCCTAACACCATGCATGGAACAGCCTGGGTCTGATGAAACCCTTGTCGTGTGTGGCATGCTTGCATTAAATTTGGCCTCTGAAAAAAGGCCCTTGCATGTCATTTCCCAAAATGGGTTGTGTTCTCTGTAATTGGCATATGTCTGATGAGTGACAACTGCAAACATTGCAAGGATAATGATTCTGAGGCAGGCGTTGGAAACCATCCCTGCTTGTTTTCCCTGCCTTCTCTTTCAAGACTTGATGGAGAAACTGTCATTGCGTGGTGTCTCCTCAGCCCGTTGTCTCTTTGCGTCACATGAATCATTTTTAACCATCCACTGCTTCATGTTAGCCTCCAGATTGGTCATCATCTGCTGCATGGTCTGGATGACTGTTTGTCCTGACTGCACAACTGATGCTTCAACTTCGCCAATCTTTTGTCTTGCAAAGGCTTGTTCATTCTTGATGGCAGTGAATTCACCTTTAACCTCTGTTTCCTGTCTGCACGGCTCTGCCTGCAATCTTTCCAGTGCACATGAAAGTTGCTCTATGCGCTGGTTCGCTGCTTGCATCTTCATCTCCATATGGTCGGATATCTCAGCCTTCACCTCCTGAATCCGTGTCGATGTCGCCACTTGCATGGCCCCAGGTGTGGCAGTGATCGTGGTGTCAACTTTGACCTGCTTGGCTGTGATGGTCACAGCATGGTTTTCACGCTGACGTTTGATGGGCTCCACAAGAACATAAGATCCATTGATGCAAAAATGCTTTGACTCCGGTTCCTGTTTCGCAGCTACAAGCCATCTGTTCGGACCCTGGGCACGAATAGGCACAGCATCCCAACCAGACTGCAGTAGAGCTGATTGGAGACCATCTTTCCCCACTTCCAATGGCATGTTCTTCAAAACCCAAATTGTGTCATCAGCACCTACACCTTCGGATGCTACAAATGCAGATTCAGGTAACAAACTGGCACGGAGGCAGGACGAATGCTCCCTACGGCATCGGATGGCAAATTGATCCCTCAACTTCACAATGCCCAATGCCTTGTCGTGCATGGCGGCTTTCTTCTGAATTTCCATTAAATTAAGGTCAGGCATGGCAATGGCTGCAAATCTTTCATCATGTCTCTTGCTGCCATCTTTGGGTGACACATAGATTCCAGCATGTCCTGATCTGACAAGGACCTGATCCAAAATCTCATCGGGAACTCGGATGAAACCATGCCAGTACGCAGCTTCCATGAAGGGAACAGGTTTCCTGTCTTCTGACCACGTTTTCATGGACCATGTGGCAATCAGACTAGAACCCCTAACAGCAGAAATATGGACACCCAGGTAATGCAAAGGCACGTTGCATTCTTTCCATGCTCCAACCTCTTTCCGAAGGATGTGAAGCTCAATGACAGTTGATGCAGCCGTGTCAACCTGGGACACAGGCACCGCCGCTTTGAAGTCGATGTTCCTGTCTCCAAACTGGCGCAGTGCAGCATGAATGATGATAGGCAAACCACTAACTGTGTGCGCTGGCATTGTGAAAGGTTCATCATTGGGTCCAAAGCGTTTCCCAACAATCAAAATGGCCAATGGTGCAACAGAGATGGAATGGCCAACCACATGTCTGTCAGCTTCTGTCAATTCCATGATGGCAACACCTGTCTGGTCGGGACCAAATCTGGATGCATCCAATCTTTCAACATCTTCATCATCTGCTTTGAAGTGTTTCATATCGATCACAATGTTGGAAGCGTTTGCAACAAACTCATCACGTTTGGGACCATGCTGGGAACGTTTGTTGTCTCGGCTGGGTGGCTTCCTACGGTTGTCCTTACGTATGGACTTCATTTCATTCCTGTAGACCAACCGGAAGTGAACCCTGCCTGTTTGCTTCATCTTTCACAGCATTCCAAAAATCATCGTCCTTGCGATCATCTGCTTTGGCAAGTGTTTCAATGTCGGCCTTCTGGAAAAAAGCTGCAGTTCTGTCATTGCATGTTTCTTTCGCGACCCCATGTTCCTCAAGTGCCTTGCAGACTCGTTGTTTGATGGCGTCTCCATTCTTCTTTGCTCCACCCACAAGTGGAGCGATCTTGAAACAAATCACGTCACTCACTGGCACATCTTTCAATGCAATCTTTGGGTCAACGAGCTTGCTTCCAAGGTGGCAGGCGATGGATAAATCCAACTGTGCATGGGAAATGAAGGAAATGGCAAGCTGCATCAACATGGCGTCTTCATCAGTCCTCAGTATCTGTGCTTTGGAACGCAAGGGTGATCTGATCCATCGGTCAGGTTTGTCATGAAACTTCACCTGCAACTGTGGGGCATCAATTGGAAGGTCAAATCTGGCAGCAAAAATGCTCGTGGGTTCCAATGGCTTAAAGCAATCCCATTCCACTTCAAAACACATGTTGTTCTTCACTCCCATCTCTGCGTCAACAGGAACACCATCAATGTGAACAGTCCATGACACCGTGCTGCACAAATCTGGAAACAAAACACGAAGTACAGAAGAAATGGATGCTGACTTTGGCACACATGCAGTGCGGATGATTTTCAAGGCAGGGTGCTTCGCAACAAATCTCATACATCCATAGTGTGCAGGGATCATGCCTTTTTCCTGCACCTTGATTTCAACCGGTGCAAACTTCACATATCCCGGCAGGCATGCATTCAATCGAACATGGAACGTCCACGACGGAAACTCAGCAACGTAGTCACAATCCTTCATGTCAAGGTCATTGAATGCCAAGGAAATGATTTCTGCTTGGAAACCCACTTTCCCAGCCAGGAAAGCAACCACAGTTTTCACCGTCCATGTCACATCAGCATTCATGCAAATGCACGTACCATCCTCCATGCGGCAAGTGACTGTAAATGTCTTGGGCGCAAACACCACCGTGGCAGGTGGGGCACATGTGATCATGTCATGCCATGCAACCTCATGACCTCTCCACCAAAAAGTTTGGAAATGCATGTCCGTGGCATGTGGTAAAGCTCGAAACACCATCACTTCCAACTTAGTATCGACTGGGCCATGGACAACCATCATCCAATTGTTCTGAACATGTTTCAAAAACAGAATCCCCCCCTGGACAAAACGATTGCATGGCAGCACCATCCATCTTGCCAACATGGAACTTTGGTTCTTGCTTCAAATGGCGTGTGAAGTCCATCTCTGATTCCGATGCCTCGATATCAAAAGCTACTGTGGGGGTCACCTCACCTCCAACTGCAGCCTTCCTTGCACGTTTGACTTGAGGATCAGTCGCCTCAATCTCATCAACCTCCTGAACTGCCAGTTCAAGTACAGCAAATTGGTCATGGTTGACACATGTGAATGCGGACAGCTTGGCAGCTTTTTCCAAAATCACTTTCAATGCCTTGGAAACGTCGAGGTCATGTGGAAATGGCGACAACAAGCCCAGTGCTTTGTGTGTGCGTGCAATTTGAATCCAAGCATGTACAGGACTAATGGCATTACCTGTCAACTGAAAAGCAAATGCAAGATCGGATGAAATCACAGTTCTGCTTGGAAATCCCAACGCAGCAAGGATCTCCCATGGGCAAAAATATCTGATAACACCCTCATCGTTGAACAAAACAGTTTGCAACCCCTTGGACTTCAAATGCTCTAAAGGCAACAAGTGTTGGCTGCCATATCGTGCCATGATGCCTGAAAGCTTTTGATCTTTGCAGATGATCCTTGCCTTCAGGACTGCATTGCTTTCCTTCCAATTGATCTTATCAGCCATCCACTTGGGAATCATGTCACTACGACTCAACATGGCTAAGACTTCATGGGACGGAATCAGGTGGTCACGGCCGGATGCATTTGCAGGAAGGATGCAATCGGATGCAACAAGGCTGGGACCAGGCAAGGAAAAACCCTCGGATGCAAGAGACAATCTGGCAGCTGCCTGTACATCGAAATCGGCAAGCGGTACGGAGCTATGTACAAAGGTGGCAAGCCAACGGTCTCTGTACACCGGCAGGCATCGGCTAATGTTATGTACACCAGCAAGAATCAACTGCATACCATGAAGTGCGGCATTGGCCAACAAGACTTGGTAGTCAGCATGGCTCACAATCCCTGGTACGTTCTCAATCAACAAGGCAGTGAGATGAAAATGCCCGGCTTTGAGCAACAAATCGGACAACACCTTCCCATCTTCTGATTTCAAACCTTTTTCCACACCAGCACTTGACCAAGGAGGACATGGAGGTGATGCAAGCACTGTCGTGACGTTCAAAATCCCAAATGCCATCCAAACGGTCGGATCCACAGCTGACCCTTCCACCACGATAGGAGACATCAAGTCCCCGCTGAGAGCTCTCTGCAGGAACACAGTTGGACTAATGACCTCACATTTCCACGTCTCTGCACAAACCTGGGCAGTTCTGTGATCTTTTTCCACAATGGCAACTGGTGTCACGTTGCACTCATGCATGGCATGTGACCATCCGGAAATTCCACCAAACAATTCTGCGACCCTGGCCGGTCCTCTTTGCAATGATGACTGCAGGAAGAGCACGCTGCCTTTCTCGAAGCAAACATGAATGTGAATCTTGTCCGACTGCCAAGCAACCTGAAAGTCAAAGACAGTAGCCTTGAATGATTGATGCACATGTTGATCCCATTCCGAAGGAACATGGAGGATCCCACAAGTACCACCTTCAATCTGGATGTTGAAGACACCCTCACCACATCTTTCTAATATCTCACAAGCCACCTTGCCCCCAGATAAAATGCAGTCCATAGCACCAAAAAGGGGGAACACACGAAGAAGAAATGGGCGATCAGTTGAATCCCGCCGCACCAAGCTTGGAGGTGCCCATTTGAGAACACACGGCTGGGGTAGGATGGAGAAAGTTTTCTATTTTATAGCGGTCTCATGTCCAAAAGCCAAGGCCTGTCGACAAAAGACTCCAAGCTGGGTATTTTGTTGTGTCGACAGAGCTATGTATTTTTGGGGCAGCTGGGTATTTTTTTGGGTGGTTTTCCATTTTATAGTGGTCCCATGCTGTCCTATGTCCCAAAAGCCAAGGGATGTCGACAAAAAGACTCCAAGCTGGGTATTTTGTTGTGTCGACAGAGCTGGGTATTTTTGGGGCAGCTGGGTATTTTAGGGTAGGATGGAGAAAGTTTTCCATTTGATAGTGGTCCCATGCTGTCCCATGTCCCAAAGCCTAAAGGATTTCTCCAAGCTGGGCATTTAGGGGTATCGACAAAGCTGGGTATTTTGGGCCAGCTGGGTATTTTGGGGTTGGATGGAGAAAGCTGGCTTTGTTTGTCCACTCTATTCCATTCTCTTCCATTCTTACGTTTCTCCATCATTACCCTTCTATTATCTCAGTGTGTCTAACGCTTACCCAAATGCACCTTCCACAATCCCTACAGTTGCACCGTATAAACGGTTTTGCTCGTTTCTACCATGGTTTTTTTTCTGTGCTTCTACTCCATGGTGGTCACACATCGAAACTGCAATTTTTCCATGGCTTTTCCATTGTTTCACGCGTGCTTTACGCGATAATGGTCCCACATCGGAGCTTCAATTTTACTTGGCATCATTTTACCCTCTCCCTATTCTTTCCACCGTTTCGCCTCGCGTTTTAATCAATTTTCCAAGCGTTCTACTCAAATTTTCCATTGCTTTCCCATTTTTTCCCCATTGTTTTATGTCAAAGTCCCTCCTTTTTTCCATTGTTTTTCTCATCATTTTCCCCTCCTTTCCCATTTTTTTCCCATTGTTTTATGTCATAATCCCTCATTTTTTCTATTGTTTTTCTCATCATTTTCCCCTCCATTGCAATCTGCCCAGATCCACCTCGGAGGGCGGACCAGGGGGGAATCGATACCCCAACGTCACCCAATTGCCACCCGGTACATAACCCTAAAAAAGTTTACCTGTGGCCACCTTTTTTACCACCTAATTTCCTCATTTTTGTCCCTCTTGGGGCGCTCTGCCCCCAGACCCCCTTAACCCAGTTTGTTCACAAAAATAACTTCGCCTAGCCTAGCGGCTGGCTTTCGTGACCAGTATCTGTGCCAGTTGCTTGCTCGGTACATGTTTCATCTAGATGGATTCTGGACGAACGACCTTCCTTGAAGATGACGGCAGGAAACGAAGGTGTCTCCCTGGCTACTACCCTCTCCCTTGGACGGCCTTTGCACAGGCACTGACTGCAGCCCCACACGCAACAACATCCAAGAGTGGCATTTCCATCAGCAGCTCCTGCAAGATCTGCCACGTGCACTTCGCAGCGCCAAAGGACTACTACATCTACAGCTTGATAGTAATTATATATATGTGTGTGTGTGTGAGTAAGTAAGTAAGTAAGTAAGTAAGGAAGGAAGGAAGGAAGTAAGTCAGTCGGTCAGTAAGTAAATAAGGTAAGTAAGGTAAGTAAGGTAAGTAAGGTAAGTAAGGTAAGTAAGGTAAGTAAGTAAGTAAGTCAGTCAGTCAGTGAGTAAGTAAGTAAGTAAGTAAGTAATTATATTATACCAATAATACCGCACAAGGCGGTGGCAGAAGTTTCACAGATAGGAAACTATAGACTATAGGAGAGGTGAGTTGTTGTGATGCATGGTTGGAAGAGCGAACCCACTGATGGATCGAAAGGTGGCTGTGGCTCTGAGTCTCTCTCTCTCACCTTTTCTCTGTGTCTCTCTATCTCTCCCTCTGTCCATCTATCTGTCTATCTATCTATTTCTAGTGTAGTTGTAGTTGCAGTTGTATTAGTGTAGTTGTAATTGTAATTGTGGTTGTAGTTGTAGTTGTAGTGCCGTGTAGTCTAGTCTAGTCTAGTCTAGTCTAGTGTGGTGTAGTGTGGTGTAGTGTAGTGTAGTTGTAGTCTAGTTGTAGTTGTGGTTGTAGGTTGTAGGTTGTAGGTTGTAGGTGCAGGTGCAGGTGCAGGTGCAGGTGTAGTGAGTTGTGGTTGTAGCTGTAGCTGTAGTTGCGATTGTAATTGTAATTGTAGTGGCACGAAGAGCGACGCTTGAACGTCCAAAAGCAGTCCGAACATCTGCTGTTTCATCTGTCCATTTGTCGGAAGTTTGACTTCTAAACTTCCTTCGATTATATCCATACCAAACTAGACGCTTTGGCAACCCCTAAGCCGTGCGCCCCAGCAATTGATCTCTGTCCAGCATCTTTTGCCAACGTCCCACTGGCTCGCAGGAAGCAATGGCAGCAGTGTAAGAGATGACGTCCTCAGGGGGATTAGCTTGGAATGCTGAGGCTGTCAAGCAATCTTTGAACTCCCAACTCACATACTCAAACACCTTCATTCATTGCATGTCTATGTCATGTCCATGTCATGTCCATGACATGTCCATGTCATGTCCATCTGGGCACCCGCAATACATCCAATGCGGGCCTGGCACAGCTGGTGCAGCAGCATCCTGGCAGAAAACTGGTTACACGGGCCCCACCGAATGCAGGAATCCGTCTACATCCTGCGTTGGCGTTGCTGGAGCTGAAGAATTGACATTAATTGACCAAGCTGAGCACAGCCCAGCCTACTAAACAGCTCAAGAGCAGGCTGCCACGCATTGGACCTTCCACTGGTCGTCACTGCTGTACTGGCTGTGATCTCATTGCCCTGCACCATCTGAACCTTAGAGGACAACATCTTCACAATCCAAAGCTTGCACGGAAGCACGACGCTGCTGGGAATGGAGAGGAGGTGTATGTAAAATGATGTGTATACAAAAAAAGGTTATATATAAATGTATATCCCACGGCATGTGTGTGTGTGAGACTCACAAACAAAAATGGATCAACCGATGCCAAGCAACAACCAAGTCAATTTCCACAAATGGAGGACGTACTGAAAGAGTGCAAACTAGACAAGCAACCCGCATTTTCCCGAGCATGCTGATTCCAAGTTCCCACAAACGGCAGGTGTGCGCAATAGTGCGCATGACAATGCCATATGAGATGCAGCCTCATCAGATCAAAAAGGATCGTTGGAAAAAACTCCAAAACAGTTCAAAACTAGGGTTATTTGAGAATTAACGTGGGGCATGATGGAGCATGTGTCTTTGCACCATTTTGCACCAACATCAATCAAGATACAGAAATTGCTTTTAGCTTGCAAAGCGTGTGGGGAATTACCACTCTTCAATCAGAAGGAAATGAAAAAGAATGAAAGTGCCTGGAAGAAGCCCTGCTGCAGGCAGCCTCAATACAGTTCGGGATGTTCGGGATGCAAAGTTTGAATTGGTTTCAACAAGGTCGAGTCTAGGGCATGTACGGCGCGTGTAACAGTTGCCCTCGAGACTGCAAGGCCTTCTGGACGTGGCATGGGATTGCACAAGTTCTGAGCCAGGTGCGTATTGAGCACACATAGTGCAGCCTCCCAGTCGTTCCTCCCTTTGATGGCCTTGGGAGGCATGAAACCCAATGATCAAAATGTTGCAAGCATGCAGATATGGAACGGTTTCAAGCCTGGTCAGTCACACCTTGTGATACTACTGCACAGAACAGGTGGCAAGCTGCAGAGTTATAGGAGAACAGCGTCGGCTGCACGGCATCTTTCTGGACATTTTGCAGCCTCGCAGTGAGACCAGTGAGTGACACCTCCTCTGCTCCATGGAACTCTTAAAATAGCTGCCAAGTAGCAGCGCAGGCAGCCGCGCAGGCAGAACCATGCCATGCGCTTTGTGACCCGTTCATCTTTCTGGAACCAGTCTGCAGCTCAAAATTCTGGTGGACACATGGAATTTTCGATGTAAAATGTAAGAGGTTTGCTGGGGACAGTTCCTTGTCATAGCTATTTCACTGTCTCTAAGCTTGCATGAAAGAGCATGTGTTGACTTGCCATCAAAGCCTAGCCTGTAAAGAGATGCTCGCGTTACAACAAATCAACCATGCTGTGAAGTGTTGCGAGCCCTGCTGAATCAATCATGTCGGCAACATGCACTATGCTTCCTCTGCGACCCGCCGTGGGGGTTCTCATCAGAGACAAACCGAAAGAATGAATGGAAGCACTGCAAGGAACGAAAAACATGCAAAAACGCCATCTGGATACCATCCATGAATGCCTAAGGCTCCCAGCGACTGCTGGTACTCTGACCGAACTGCATCAGAGAAGATGGCAGACTCGGTAAATGCGACATGGCAACAGTAGACAGTCTCCACAGTCCATCGACGGCATGTCATGCAACACTTCCCTTCTCGACTGACCGATTCTTGCACCTTGTGGGCGATCAGAGACATCTTGCAATGCAATTGCTGCAGGCTGCACTTCACCTGGTTTCCTGTTGAATCTTGGCCCAAGGCGTAAGGTGTATCAATGTCGATTTGGGCCTGGACACAGCTGGCCAACAGTGAATGAACCCATCCTGCCTCTTTGCATGTCTCTTCAACCAAGCTGAAACGCCAACCTGTCGAGGCCGTTTGCGAAATTCAGCCAGCAGGGTCTGGTCTTTGCGTGTCAACCTTAGCGCGATGTCACAAACATGTTCAGCTCATTGTGGTCCAAGAATATCCAAGAATGCTTGCTTTGAACAAAGCATCTGTCGTTGCTGATATCGGCACCTCTGGACAACTTTGGGACACACCGAATATTGAACTCCATGTGTATATGTATGTGTATATATATATTGTACAGAAGCATCAAAATTTAAAAACTATTACTCTGTAAAAAGTACCGTACCGTACCGTACTGAAAAAAGTCAAGAGAGGATCCCAGAGGACCACAGAAATGGGGCTCGGATGGGGCTCGGGCATGCTTCGGAAGGAGGGCGCTGTGTGGGCTCGCTGCAGGTACTTAAACTCCTTGAAGCAGAATATTCAAAACATGTCAGAACGACAAATCATTTTCGTTGAAATGTATGAATAGTTCATGATAGCTCATGTGCGTGCAGGAACATCCCACCCTCTGGGGCATTTCTCGCCGAGACCTTTCTGATTTTAATTTGCTGAGAGAGAGAGCACAACAACAAAAAGCGCCAAGGTTGATCCCACAGGAGGTCCTTGGGGTTTAATCTTGCCACCTTCCGAAGGCCCTGAGAATTTGATGCCTGGTCTGAATCCAGCATATTTTCCTAGGGCTTAGGGAAGAACATGGACAACCAACATTCAGGGCGGATGGCCAACAGCTGACACTTCACCCCATGTTCCCAAACCCCACATTTTGAGCTTTTGCTTTGCATTTCCGAAAAAAATACTTTAAACAACAGCAAGCACAGGCAAGCAAAGGAGCAAACAAATGGACTAAGAAGGAACAAAGGCGCCCCAAAAAGAAACAGGCCGATTGTAACAACTCATTTCTCCTCGCCAGCTTTCAGCTTTGCCAGAAACTCCTCCCGGCACTTCTCCTGTGTCAACTCACTGTCAACCAATTTTTGGGGATGTTGCAAACTCTTGAACAATGAGAGCACAATACCTGCAAAGGTTCATCACCTGTTGCTGATCCCAACACTGCTGAAGGGCCTCTTTGAGGATGCTCTCCTGCAAGGCAAAGGGATCTGGGGCACCTGCAAGGCAAATCAATTGGCAGTCATTGTTCTTCGCATTCTTCGAGCCTGCGTTCTTAAATCTGGAAACTGTGCGAAGGCATCATCTGCCCTGAAGTCCGAATGGGACATCTTGAAAATCTCAGAATGTGACCTGCCCGCATTTCGGAGGGCAAAGGGCTGTACAAAAGTACAACTGCTTCAATCAGTTACTGGATTTTGCAGCCCACCTATCTTGGCAATAGGATGCGTGGGAATTGGGATGGTCAATATCTTGCTATATCATTTCTTATTGTCTGCATACTTCTTCATAGCTCACGCTCATTTATACCCCGTAAATCTACCGTGAGCCAAAAGCCATGGTTTCTCCAGACCAGCCTCAAAATAATGAATCTCGGTATCAAGTCAAAGCACAAGACTCAAGGCCAAGTGATCCAGTCAGTTGACAGTTGCAAGGCATACGCATGCATATTAATTATAAATGCATATTTATAGTGCTTATTTGATAAAATATTTATAGCATGTTTGTATGATTTTATTTGAAGAGTGCTTCATGCTAAGCAAACAGGTGCTTTCTTGCTGGAAAGGCCTGGAGGTTCTGCGACGAGCGGCACTTTGTGCACAGCGGTCCCTCCACTGTAAAGAATGTAAAGGATGTATCGTGAAGAATCAAAGGATCCTCTGCATTACAAAGGTTCCATCATGTTCCTCTTAAGGCGTGAAACTGATGAGTGACGAGCTCATCACACTAAAACTCATCTATATATCCATCACTGACTCTAAGGAGAAGCCATTCAGAACTCACATTGGTCCAAGCATCTTATCTTTCTCCTCCGAGAAAAACAAACACAACAATAAACAGAATCAGACACACATGTTCATGACAGTGAATGTTTGACCGCTTTAGTCAACAAAGGAAGATGTCAATATGTTTCGTCTACGACTGAGCATGCGTACTTTGACCAGTGTAGCACACAAGGAAAACAGTTCATGAGAGTGTCGATTTCGCAGTCCTGCTGGATGAACTGGAAAATAGAAGTGGCTGTCTCTGCGCTTTCCTGAAATGATGTGGTGAAGTTTGGGCTAAGAAAAAACACGAAATCCTCCTCACAGTGCGTGCTGAAGCTCCTGTGCTGCTGAGTATCAAGGTTTCGATCTGGATGCCATTTCACAAGCAATCGCTTAATTCCTGCTTTTTGGTTCGCTTTAGTTTCATATTTGAGCGAAGCCAACTGAGCTCGCACGGAGTCCTGGATGTGAGCGCAAGATAGCGCAAGGGAGTGCATCATGTTATCGCGCAGCCCCATGCGTGGCACCCGAATCATGCCAACAAGTCAAGTGGTCCTGCAATGACTCCTGATTTGCTAGTGGTCGTGGCTTCAAAGCGTGCCAACCTACCAATGATCTGCCAAAAATTTGGGGAATGGAATGCTTGTCACATCACACCAAATGGCAACTACTCCTGCCGGCATGCTGCCACCTCCGAAGGAAAAGCCTTCCTTGGCGGCTCGTGGGCAAGGCGGTGTGAATCCTGGGCAAACCCCACAGCACTGAACACCAAAGTTTTCAAGTAGTAACCGTTTAGCAAGCTTGCACAACTATGAATGACACCAGGCAAAGACGGGCCTCGGTCATGTTGCTGCGTTGGTGGTTTGGAAGCTGCTTTGGAATGCGAGCTCATCTCATCATGATACCGCCTCCAGTGCAAAACTATTTGAGCAAAACTATGCCACCAAATGACGGCCATGCGAAGCCTCTTGGCATTGCCACAGGTTTGCGACGATGTCTGCGGCCTTATTTGGCAATCTGCGACTTGTGCAGTACTTTCCTGCTGTGAAGAGTAATTCGGTCAATTGAATTTCACGGACCTGGCCACCACAGCCCCTGTGCACAAAGGAATGCTGAGCGGCATCGACTGGCGATCTGAAAACATGCGGGGTGCTGCAGCGCTTGTTGCTGCACGGCCCCGTTGCCTTTCTCGTCGAGCAGCCTAGTACAAGCTGCAAGTGCTCATAAATGGTTACAAAACACAAGAGAGGGGGAAACAAACTAAATCGACTATGATATATATGATATAATGTATACGAGTTATTTAAGCGTAAAACTCCTAGGCGGCACACAAGCAAGCAACTGCTAGGGCGCCGCACTGTTTTACTTGAGCCAAATGTAACATATTGAGATGATGTGAGACAATGGCGGTTCTCATGACACTACACTTGATGAATGTCTTTACATAGTGTAATTGTGTCAAACAACTCCCCCCTCATTCAGAGAAGTGAGTGTGGAACCAAAAGCCTCTCACTACGTCTTCGTTCTGATGCATGGCAGCTGAATCAGACGTTCCCAAGACATTGGCGCAACAACTTTGGTCATGCCATCCGCTGCTTGATCTCCAGTTCCCACATGTTCTGGTTTCATGCCTCGTTGTTGGATGAGGTCAGCCAAACTGGCGACATCTATTCGGTGAGTGCGCGACGCATGTCTCAAACGAACTGAGTATCCAGAATGCAAGATGGATAACGTGGCAGCGTTGTCCTCTAACAACCTCATGGTGACTTCGCGCTCCACAAGTTGTTGCAGCAAGTCAAGGAGCGGCTGTCCTTCTGAGTAGATGGCCCCAGCCATCGCGATGATTTCTGCCTCCGTAGTGGATCGCGCCACCGACGTTTGGCGTCGCGAGTTCCATGCGACCGGCCAACGCGAGGATCCCGAGACAAGCATAATCATCATGCCTGATGTTGAGCGGGCCGTGTGCACACAAGACGCGAGATCCGCATCCGCATACACATGCAGCTCTGTATTGCTAATTTGCCCAGCCTGACAAACCATCTGATAGCCTTTCGTCCAAAACACATATGAAACTAAACGATGGATGTGAACATCCTCTGCTCGACTCCAAACTGTGATCCGGCTTGCTAACCTGCCTACGGCAAACGAAATGTCGGGACGGCAAAGCCGCGCCAACCAAAGACCCTTCATGAGTATCTTTGACGCGTGAGCCTGCATGGATCCAGATTGTTCATATAGCGTGTCCGACAGAGTACTATCACTAATGTGAGGCGTGGCAACCCTGCGCAATGTTTTTGAATCAACACCAGTGATATCTAGATACAGCTGCACAAACTGCTCTGCGTAACCTACCATGGACATGACTACGGTTTGAGGACTTTCCTGTTCATGTAATCGACCTAGAATCAACACCGAACTGCTAGGGAGTAGAGTTTTGGGATCTTCGATCTTGATCAGCTCAGAAAACTGCTTCCAAAACTTTGCGTGTAAACCTCTCTTCCCTGACAGAGTCAAGTCGTCGACGTACACATTGAGTAACATCTTATGACCCTCGATGTGGAATAGGAAGTTACTAGGAAATCCTGGGATTTGTGAAGCTCCAAGCCGAGAGATGCGGCTCTCTAGAAACTCTTGCCAGAGTCTACCCGCTTGCGGGTGTCCATATAGGGATTTGCGCAGTCTCACCGCCACCTTGCCATGGAACTTTGACTTCCATGCAGGTAGCCACAGCTGCCTTGGCAAAATGACGTACGTCAGGTCGTCATCAGGGAGAAAGCTTTGAAGAAACGCTTGTACTGCGTCTGCAGTTGAAGTGGCATGCCCCTCTAGAGCTCCCCACCACAAACAAACGTTTAGAGCAATGAGTGTTGTGGGAGAAGTGGACACTTCAGTGAACAAAACTATGTCCCCATCTTGTGTGAACACTTTGTCACCCCTGTAGACAATCCTCCCTTTATATTTGTGTTGTGTTTCATCTAATTCCGCATGTTTGATGCCACATAAAACCAAAAGTTCAGCTACGTGAATGTTCATGCCCAATGTCTTTGACTGATGGACGAGTTGGTCAAGATCACATGCAGTTGAATCATCCCACGTCTTGTTGTCCCTCAAACCTTGTCCCTCCTTAGCTATAGCATCCAATGCCTTCGGATCAACACTCCACTGGCTACGGTTGAGTGCCTTGGTGACCAAACCAAACATCTGCGCTTCAACCGAGCTCTCCTCATTACCGTGGACCTGATCACTCTGGGAGCAACAGAATGCAGGTATGTTTGTGGAGTAGAACTGTTTTGGATACAAAGCTTCAGCTATGAGGTTCACGAAGGAGACTGTGTAATATGCGGTCCTTGCAGCATTACCACTTTCACATGGTTCATGTTGCGATGGCGAGTGGTCACATTGCATTTCCGCGAACAATTCAACAATCCTGCGGTCGTTTGTGGCGAACATCCATGGTTTCTTGAGATATTGACCTCGTTTCCCTTTCAGCTGTAGCATGCAGCCATGGAACTGAACCATCATGAGATTGTGCCTTTTGCAAAAATTGACCAAGTTTGGTAATCTCCAACCCTTGCAAAATGCCGGCCATTCCCAAACAAATCGCCCATTATGACTGATCACGTATTCGCCGATTTGTAGCGCAAGATCAACCATGTAAGAAGACTCCTCCTGTTTCTGCGTGAGATCATTCAGAAAAGAATCCCCAAGACGATGGACGTTGAGTTCTTGAAGGTTCGACCAAGGATCACACGGAAGTGAAACCCAGAGATCAGCTCCATGTTGCGTTTTCAGTTGCTCTACCAGCTGAAGCACGTGCTGGAAATCGCTGAGGTCAATGACGTCCTTACTTAGGCGCACAACTTTGACATTGTATTGTGGTAAGATTTGACCAATCAAAGAGTCCCTACTGCAGGCGTATTCATACAACACCCCAATACCCGGAAGGTCCGTTGATAAACGGCGAACTCGGGACAATCCAGCCCATGTTTCTTTGGCCACTGCTTGCACAACCAGCCCATCCAAAGATTCAACAGCAGTCACTTCTGCTGCAGCGTCAATATCATCAATTGGAGTCGTTGGAGCTGGACCTGAAGATTCACCATCACTTTCTGGAGGACAAATGGGAACAACATCGTCGTCGAGCCTGGATCCCGCAAGGTCGCCTGAAGCGATCGCATGCGGCTCCGACCCGACACTGTCCCGAACTTCCTCAGTAGTGATTGGCCTTGGCTTCACTTCAACGGGCACCGGCTTGTCAGCTCTGATGAGGCGATTGAACCGATCACGACATGCTTTGGTGTGTCTTGATGTGACCATTTCACAGCCCCTGCAGCCGTCAGTACCACCGTACTTGATAAGACGATCAAGTGTGATGTATTCAGCACGAGTCTTCGCTGGAAGCTCAATGGGTTCTTCACTAAAAGGAATACTGATGGGTGGAATCTTTGTTGGGTCTTCTAAACTGAACTTCGCTAAAGATTCACGGTGCGCAGCTTTGAGGGGCATTGTCAAGTGATCATCAAAGACTACCTCTTCTTGAGGCACTGCAATTGGATGTTCAAATCCCGCGGTTTTGGTTCGGATCTTCTCGTAATCCAAGACCAATACAATACCCCTGTATCGGCAACCATTCTCTAGTCTCCATCCTGCAAAAACACCTGGAAGACATGACCCTGAAAACTTGTGGATCTTTGTCCTATCACTAACCCTGTAGTAAACCAGTTGTCCTAACAACCATTGAGGGCCATCAAACCTTTGGCCTGAAGCAGCCTCAAGTCGAGTTAAGGGCCTTTCCCTTTCGGGTGGTACTATGTCAGGTTGTGTCCAAGCGCTTGCAAGGGAAACAGTGCAGTACTGAACTGTGATGGACCACAGGGATGGATACGCTGCGAAACCTGATGCGAGATGAGTGGCTCTGACGGACTCCTCAAATGTCCGTATGTCACGCTCAAGGCGCGAGTTGTGCGGCCAATACCTTTCAATGGAAGGTTCATAAAACGCACCAAGCTGTTCACAAGCATATTGAAATTCCTTGGCGACATCTGCTTTACATACCAAAGTACTCAAAGATGCGCGCGGCCCCAGGAAACGTTTGATGTGAGAAACAATCAAATCACCATCTCTTGAAAACATGGGGACTCCTTGAAGAAAACCAGACCATTCGTCACGAATCATCAGAACATAGCGGTCTGTTTTGGATTCGGCCGTTTTCCCAACAACAATGAAGTCAACAGCTATTCTCTCTCCAAAACTGGTAACTGGGTCCAGCCCTCGTTCAAGGAGTTCGTATTCCCTCCTTTTGGTGACACGCTTCTTGTAGCACTTTGCAATTCTGCAATCTGGACATTGGCTTGATTTTGGGAAATGCGCCAAACGATGCTCGATGGATCGTGCACGCCTGATCTCAGCTGTGATCCACTCTACACCACCCTCGGAGTCGGCGTCTGATGCCGGCGCCCCAATTTTGGAGCCCTCTTTCGCCCCAATTTTGGAGCCTTCCTTTGCCCCAATTTTGGAGCCCTCAGCTTCCCCAATTTTGGGGCCTTTGGTTTCACTCGGCATCCCAGGAACAATCTTGATGTTTTCACGGAAGATTGGAACATTTTCTTCAACCCTATGTGCCGCAATGCGATCATCAGGAGCACACGCAACTTGTAAGAGCTCGCTACTTGTTGCAAAGAATGGCAACTCCCCAGGTAACCAGATGAATGGCTTGTCCTGTTGATTTACAATCTCACCAAGGCTCCTAACCATGGGACAACCCTTTGGGAGAAGATATGCATTGGTATGACCAAATACCTCACCTTGATATCCAATGGTCTGATCGCCCCTTCTTGCACCTCCACCTGTGGCAAACTCAATTGGGTGGTCCGTGTACGTGGCATTGTCTTTGATCAATTCACTTGGAATTCCACCGGCTTCAAGCGTCGAAACGCTTCCCAAGCTTCTGCCGGCACCTGAGTCTGAAATCCAATCAACACAAAATGAAGAGGACATTGTGCCTTCTGAAACTTGGGTGTGCGCAACACTCGAATGCAGCACTGGCACTACGCATGCAAAGATATGAGCGAAATACCGCAGTGGCGCTGTGCACGCGCGCACAACTGCAGTCATGATCGACTCGGAAGAGGCAGATGCGGAAGGAAGTGATGCAAAGGCTACAGCTTCTGCAGTCTTCGCCTTTGGCGCTGCAGTGGCCTTTGTTTGGGCCTTGCCCTTTGGTGCCGGTTCCCCATCGATCACATCGTGAGAAAATGGACACGAGTCACCCCTATTGCATGTCCCCTGCGGGAAAAAGATACATGGAGCTTTGCTCCTGGGTTGGGAACCCTTTGGGCCCCCCTGACCTTTCCCATCTTTGCCTTTGGCTTTGTTATCACCCTTACCCTTACCTTTGGTATCTCCACCTTTTCCCTTTGAGTTCTTTGGTGGAGGCGGCTTGGGCGACGACTTTGCAGGCGGTGCCGCTGCTGCTTTCGCAACAGGATCCAGCTTTGCCGGAGATGACGGAAGTGCAGAAGTCCGACCAGTGCTATCCTTTGGATTGCTCGGCTTTGCCGTTGTGGTCAGCGACTTCTTGACAGACTCTTGATTGGTGTCTTCTTTCAACTCATCAAGGTATTCACCAAAACGGTTCCAAAGCCAACCAAAAGAACGCTTCTGAGAATTGACACCACTGTCTCTGATGCGATCAATGTGTCTTCTCATGCCATTGCATTTCTTCAATCTTTCGAACAAGAAAATATACTTGGTGTGCTCTGATGGCTGCATGTTTGGCTGAATGCTGTTGAGAATGAACTCTACACGATCATAGAAGAGACGCAGATCAGACTGCGCAAAAGAATCCAACGGGAGCTCAAGAAGAGCCTGCTGTGTCAGCTGTGAACCCCTCATGCGATCCAAGGCAAAAGCTTTCGAAACCTCATGCAACATTCTGCGACCCTTCAATGGCACGGCCTGGGGCTGGGCTCTTTCAAGATAGCCCTGAAACCTCATGCCAATGTTCCCTGACATGTGTTTTGAAATGTGTTTTGGTTCACTGAGTTGCCCAGCCAGCCATGCATCCAAACGAGGCAAGCCATCAGAAAAGTTCTCAAGGTGAAAAAGGATTTGTTCATTCGAAGGTTCAAAGGCCGTCTGAGCCCATCTCATGATGACTCCCAGGCCCGTCCTGTCGATGGATGACAGCTTTGCTATCAGCGAGTTCCTCCAACCCCGAAAGGCTGAAGCATCCCTTGGAAGACTCGGCACTGACAGGTTTGACAAATCCTTTCCCCTATAGATGTTGTCCTCATCCCCAATGAAAGCACCACCCGGCATAAAATCACCATATGGGTTACCATTCCCTCTTGGTGGATCATCCCCTGGTGGTCCTCCTTCGCCCCCGTTTTGGATCCCCTGTCTTGCAACAATCAAAGGCTGTGCCTGACCATGCCATGACTCATCCGCATCAGGATCATCACTACCATCATCATCGTCATCATCGTCATCGTCCCCTCCATCTCCAGGGTCGCGTGAGGCGAACGCCTGTTGGGAACCCTCATGAAAAACGAAATTATTTGGAGGTGATGGTTGTGACATGCGAGAACCAGCCAATTGGTTGATCTGGTCCTGCATGGACTTCATAGACTCCCCAATCTGCTGCCTCAATGCCTTGACAGCATCTGTCATGTGAGCGTGAAGCTCTGCTGTCGCACTAGAGGCCTCGGACGGTGCCTTTGGCGTTGGAATCCTGGGTGGCCTACCTGATGTGGATGTTGGGCTTCCATGGACTGGTGACGGATGAACTGGGGGTGGAACATCATGAACAAAATCCGCGCTATTTCGGCTCTCAGTCAACAAATATTCAATCTGCCTCTGCTGTTGCATCAACTGATCCTGCAAGGCTTGAATCATCTGTTGTTGCAAGTTGATTTGATGTTGTTGTCGTTGATGTTCGGCCGACGCTGTCTGAATGATTTGATGTTGATGCATGTTTTGTCGTCTCAACTCTTCATTCTCAGATGACGCTGTTTCAATGATTTGATTCACTTGTCGTGTTGCTGACTCCACTACCCTGTTCACCTCCACATTTGCCTGAAAAGCTAACCCTTTTGCAACATGCTCCGCCTCCAACACGGCCCTTTGAGCCTGCGCCTGGATGTTGAGGGCTGTTGCCCTGGCTTCGTCTGCTTCCCGTCGAGACTGCTGATCCTCAATGTGCACATGCTGATGGACCGATCTTTGATCTACAAAGGTCTGATCAACATGATGGTGTTGTTGAATGGATCTCTGATCTATGTGACCTTGTGCATGTAAACTACCATGAGGGTCAATGACCTCGTCATCGTCATGAAAACCAGGTTGAAAACCAGCACAGGCACTGTCTAAACCCGGTGCAGTTGCAACAACACCTACATTGGGTGACGCAGGATGTGCGCTCTGGGTTGATACAGTCAAAACTTTGGGTTTGCCTTTCCTATTGATATTGGATTTCTTAACCACTTTTCTTTCTGAAGAACTCCTGCTTGATTCCCTGGATGATTGTCGGGAATGACTTCTGCTGGCATTCCCTTGGTGTTCAACCACAGTTGTCATGGCAGCAGCTCGTTCCCCCATCGGCTGTTCTGTGGAGGAAACCATCTGTGAGCTAGATGATATGGAAAGTGAACTTGATTCAGGTGGAGAAAACCCAGTCGACATTGAAAATTTGATCTGGTTTTCGTCCCAAATCTCGCCCCAAAATTGGAGCCCTTTTTGTTGAGCAATCCCGGTCGCAGGATGCGAACACAGGAGATGTGAAGGTTCTGTCAACTGAAAACGAGGGTTATGCCAAATCCCTCGCAGGAGAACACAACACAACCAACAATGTAGAATAACTGGATAACTACTGAGGTTCAGTCAACTCACCCAGTGAGGAGAACACAAAGTACAGGAAAATGCCCCAAATTGGTGGTGGAGCAAATTGCACTGAATCAATTGGTGTGATGGCCCTGTCTTCCTGATCCCTTGACTCCTGTCCCCACGCGCTCTAAGGGTTTGCTCGCTCAAGGCGCACAAGGCCGAGGATTCCGTAAAAATGATCGGTGATCTCGCCGTGCAAGGAGATGATCCTCTGATGTTCTTCCAAGACATGGCCCCGAGCGATCTCCGAATTCGAGCAAACGTGTTCCGCTAGTGCCCGTTGATCGTCCACGAAAAACACGGACTGAAGATCGCCCCTTCGGATCTGCCAATCAAGATATGCTCTCTTGCCGTCCCAACGTCCAAACTTTGATGGAGTGATAATGGGAATCAACTGGAGGTCTTGACAGATACGGCGTATGTTGGCAATCTTCCTTGGATCCTTGCAGAAGCTAATACAATAGACCCGCAACTGCGGAAGATCTTGATGCACGCTATGCAACAAGACCCGCGTCTCCCTCAAGTCCTTGTCAATAACACCGTGGAAATCCAGGAACAAGCCAAGCCGAACGTCAGAAACGTCAATGTTCTCCTCCAACACTGACTGCTCAGGCAATTCGTCCGAAACGTCACTGTTCTCCTCCAACACTGACTGCTCAGGCGATTCGTCCTCAATGAGCACAGAAGCCGCAGCTGAAGGCCTTGACGGTTGCGAGGTCTCACTCGGAGGATCCCTCACGTCGCGAAGAGGCCGCCTCACTGGTGATCTTGAGCGTTCGGGAGTCTCAGGCCACGTGTCCTTGACCAAGACGGAAACTCCTCTTCAGATGATGACTTGATCTGATCGGTCTCTGCTGGACCGTTAATGATCTCAGTCACGAGTTCGTTGCTCAGACCAGCGGCTAATCCCAAGGCACGAGAACTGGATATACGATATATATCCTTCTTAAGGCCCTGTGCAAACACAAAGAGCTGTTGAAGCCTGTGAAAAATATGAGCCTCCCGGTGGGACAAGTCTTGCCTGACTTTGAGGCTATCACTTGCTGCAGCGAACGGGTACAGAAGCTCCCGCCGATAGTCACGGAGCCCGCGGCGACCTCCCCGTCGCATGCAGCTCCGGCACAAGCTGACTACTCAAATGTGCACCGGAGTTGGTCACCCGAAGAAGCACTGGATCAATTGGAATGACAAGGTTTGGGCCAGATACGAGAATCACAAATGGGATCCGATTCTTCTATTCGTGGGTCGCTGGGTGCGAACTCCGCTCAAACTCAATATGGAGAATGTTGGTTGTTGGTCAAGCAAGTAGGTTGCTAGCCAAGAGCACGACAAGTATGACAGTCTAATCCCAAAGGCTATGAGCGAGGTGTCCCAAGCTACTAACACCCTTTGGCTATTGCTTCAATGACAACGGTCGCCTGACGCGAGCTCGCTGTTTCAACACCAAGGGTCTGTGGCCAAGGTGAAGCGGGACTTCGAGTGGGATCCAACCTGTGCAATCCGATAAAGCGGTTGGAAAGTCACTCAAAGGTGTATATAACAATGTAGCAGGTCGCCAGTCGCGATCGCTGCCCCTCTGTTATAGATAACAGAAAAGAGAAATGGTGGTTCCAACACAAGAATGGGTGGCTCAAGCCCAAGTCAAATGATGGTAACCAGAAATATGTAAGGACCACGGCCGTACCCGCTCGGGCGAGCAGGTACGGTTGATAACCAGTTATTTAAGCGTAAAACTCCTAGGCGGCACACAAGCAAGCAACTGCTAGGGCGCCGCACTGTTTTACTTGAGCCAAATGTAACATATTGAGATGATGTGAGACAATGGCGGTTCTCATGACACTACACTTGATGAATGTTTTTACATAGTGTAATTGTGTCAAACAACTATACGGTGCATTATACATATATATATATATACACGTATGAATGTATTATATATATATATAATGTATATTATATATAGTGCATATTATATATATAAAATGTATATTATATATCTATATATACGTATGTGTACTGTGTAGATAGATAGATAGATAGATAGATAGATAGATAGATAGATAGATAGATAGATAGATAGATGGATATGTGTGTGTGTATCCGTGTGTGTATGTGTTGGTACATCAGATTATCGGCTATCCAGCCTGGCCTATCTCTCTCTGGGGAATGACATGCTAACTGCTAACTATGATTGATTTGTCAGATACCACTGAGTCTGGGCCTGCATACGCTCTGAAATCCGAGAGATGTCAGCTTGAACTTCTTCAAGACAGCGTGAAAGATTTGCATTGCGTCTGTGTACCTTTTACGGCAGCCAGGGAACCAGATCAGCATTTAAATTTCAGAGCGTGCGGGTGATGACTAAAAAAAACGGTACCCTCTTTGCTAGTAAACACATACCAGCCTCCTTCGCAGCTTCATCGATGTAAGATAATCCACGGTTTACCTGCCTGGCCCAAACTGTTTGAATTTCCATTGCGGATGTAAGAAAATATCAGTCAGTATTGAGATTACGTGCGATTACATGAGATTCCTAACTTGTATGTGCATGATTTTTCGTTGACATGGGGACCAGGATCCCGAAAACAACTAAAGCCAGCCTGCGCAAGGTAGCCTCGTCAAAACCATTCGCCTCCCGTGTCGATGAGCGTGATGCCACAGCTGATGCCCTGGCAGAGTCAGTTTGGGGCGGGTGTTTCAAGATGTTTCAAGAGATGCGGAAATTCCATGAAATTCCCACCGTCTGCGTCAGTCTGCATCCGTCTGCTGGGTCTGCTGCTCTCTAGCTTGCAAGCATCCGGAAATTATTTTGAATGCAGTCAGGTTCTCAGAGGCGCCAACTGTCCAATCACAGCCTGCAAAAGAAATCATTCAGAAGTTCTTCCAACTCATCCGCGTCACTCTCGTTGTCATTCTCACCTTTGCGGGCTAACGGCTAACGGTCACCACAGCACGTCCAATTTCTAAAGAGTAACGAATGAACATGCAGAAACGAACAGTCAAATCAGAGCACAAACCGTGCTCTGAATCTAATGGAACAGGAGAATGCATGGCGTCCACTAACAAGTAGACAGGAGCATTCTCAATTCGCACCTTCAAGAGGTACAGGTTTTGAATTTCCGGTGCTTAAAACCGGAACACCTGCGACGTGCTGCAACAGGATACTGTATCCCGACAGCGTGTCTCCAATTGCACCAGCATAGACCCAAAAAAATAATGATTTTTTGTGTCAGTCTTCAAGTTGATGAAGGGAGACAAGGCTGGGAGACCAGACTGGGACACAAGGCAGCACCGCCAGCAAGGACCACCCCAAGGCAGAAATGGAAGTTTCCTAAAATGGAGGTACCCTGAAATCATCTAAAATCATCTTAGTATTGTAACCCATGGTTTTGGGGAGATACCCATTTTAACAAACCCCCAAATAATGAAGAGAGACGAGACAAGGTGGCTGCCACACATTTGAAGGAATCCAATTTTTGAAAATCTGAATCCCATTCATTGACAAATAAAAACAAAAAACTATAGTTGACGCTATCTGGGGAACAAAACGCATGTAACGTCACCAAAAAGCATGAAAAACATTTCATCTCATGAGCCTCCGTCCCTCTGGGCTGCCCGAAAAGCTGTAAGCGTAGCCGAAGAAAAACACCGTTGACCAGCTGCAGCAAGCATGTCATTCAAAACCCCAGCACGTTCATAACCTCAACAGGAAGGTGGTGGATGCGACTTGATGCAACGTTCCAACGCATTCAATTTTTCTGCATTTTCAGTTGCGATCCGAAAACTCAAATTTTGTTCAAACACTGAGTGTTTTGCGAAGCAATTCCGGCACCTTTTGGACACCTATCCGTTCCAATTTGTTCTGCACTGCTCGCAGTTCGCGTCTTCCCCATGATTGATTGCAAGCAGCCAGGAATTCCTCCTGCAAGGACCACATCAGGTCCACAGTGTTTACTTTGAATTTAATAAGGTGTCATTGACGAGAATAAGTGACCCCAAAGAAGAGAATAAGATACCAAACGGCCAACAACTTTGGAAGCATGTTCAAATACGTTTGAATTTGGTGCAACACTACCTTTGTCATTGCACTCTCCCCACTCCATGCTGCATTGGGCATCTAGTCCCACCGCATCGACCATGGCCGGCCCACATTGGGATACATCGACCGCAAAAAAGAACGCTGGAATCCAGAAAGATAAATGTTGCATGTTTCAAAAAACATCAGCATTAAATACCCATATATCATATCGCCAATAAGTACCAAAAACTGGTTCACATCCACTGCAAAATGTGTCGGCTGCCTGGCTCTGCAGGACATGAAAACAAAGAAACACGATTCTACCAAACCAAAAATATGTTCACTTACCGATTCAAAACCATTGTTGCTAGTAAAAACTTATATGGCCGCTGCCCAATGCAAGCTGGTCGCTGATGCAAGGCAACAATCTTGGCTGAAGCAAAATGATTTTAAGCATTTCAGTTTATCAGTTCATTTCGCAATTCCGACACTGGGGACGAAATTGTTGGATTGCCCAAATATAACCATACCCCATATTCAGTGGCAACTAAAACCGTGCGACCCGAACCAATTTCACGCGCCGAAACCTGAAAACCTGTGCGCAACAGCCAGGACACTGAATGTGAATCAGGCGGGGGATGATGTCCGTTTCACTTTTTTTCGTTGCCATCGGGCACCAGCAGCATCCCGTGGGCGGCGCCAAGAAACACGGACAGTTTGCAAAAGTGCGGACCATTCTTTCCTGCTTTGTGCCACCTCAAAACGTTTTTGTAAAATATACTTCCCCACGCCTGCCCCGTGGAAGCAATGGTCGTTCACATTGGTCGTTGCGAGTTGACGAACATCATCATTCCGCTTACTTCTTCGAGTTCCCCTCATAAAGGGCCCTCCCAGCATTTGCGGCTGTAAAAATCTGTTGAAAGTCACATCTCGGGCTGGGTGGTTGGGGGGCCGTCGTCCAACAAACTTAAAACATTCATCTGGCAACGGACTTGCTCATTTGATATCCGTTCCACGCCAAGGAGGGTTGCTACCCCCAGTAGATGGTATGCCGGCGATAGACAGCAAACATCGAATGTGGAAAGAATCCAGAAGCAGCATTTGTTTTTCAGTGAAGCAGAGAGTACACAGACTGTACATCAGTTTGCTGACCACGCAGGCATAATAAATGTTAATCTTGCGTTTGGTACCGATCCCAGCATGTTTCCAAACACGCAATAAAGTTTTAAACGCCTGCCGTGCATCTCTAATTTTATTAGACACTTCATGTCCTTGTTTTGCCTTTGAACCAACTAGAGCACCCAAATACACAACCGAAGAAGCCAGTGGAACTTGCGACACATCAATGAAGCAAATGGCAGTCTCCGTGGTAGAGAATAAGCTCACACTTACCAAGACTGAGGTGCAGGTTGTATTTCGCCGCTTCCCTCTGGACCAAATGAAGAAGACATTGGAGGTGCTCGCTGTTTCGGGAAATACGAGCCGTATCATCAGCGAACTCCACATCAAAGAAGGGAACGGTAGGTGCAATAGCCAAAAGATATTTATTTATGAATGAACAACAACGGTGACAAGGTACAACCTTGGCGTATGCCACTTGCTTGTTTTTTCTGCATTGAGATCTCCCCGTCGACAGCAACTTCAAAATAAGGAGGGGCGGCGAGGTCCCTAGTGGCAGAACACATCCTGGGTGAGATTTTCAACCTTTGGAGAGCGAGGTGAAGGGCAGCAGGTTTAATGGTGTCAAAAGCCTTGCTCCAGTCCAGGAAAAGGAGGAACAAGGCCTGATTTTCTTTCGCGTCTACAAGATCCGGCAACCGCCTCATGAGGAAAATCGCCTCGCTAGTGCTACAGCCGTGTGCAAACCTATATTTATTTTGTCGCAAGGAAGGGCCCAGGCCAGCAGATAGCCTGGCTGCTAGAATCCTAGCATACAACTTGTAGCAGGTCTGCAAAAGACTAATCGGGCGGTAATCCGCTGGGTCACTGCTGGAACCTTTTTTAAAAAATGCCTACCACAAGTGCCTGTCGCCAAGGGTCCGGGCTTTTGCCTTGAGTCCAGCAGCATTGAAAAACGTCAAGCAAAGTCTCTAAGCCTGGTCCAGGTACGTGCTACCTTCCTTGCCAGCCGCTTTCCCATTTGTAAGATGCTTGATGGCAATGACAAGTTCGTGCATAGTCAGGGGTCCTCCCTCAAAAAGCGGGGTATGGCCTTAAAACAGATCAGTATCAATGTCATCAACTCCCTCAATTGCTGGCGGTGCCCATTGCGCCTGTTCCAAGTGCGTGGCGAAGATCTCAGCATTGGAGTCCATCGCTGTTAGATTACTAACGGCAGACGGGGGTTCCAAACGAACAAGTCTAGATTGGGAAGGGGTTTTCAAACATTTGATAGGGTTCCAATGTGCGTCCTCGAGCTGACTATTCAACCATGTTTTTGTCTTGGCGAGCGGATTTCTTAATGCTCTTGTCGTATTTTTTCCACAGCCTTAAGATCTTTCTGCGCCCCCCCCGGCAGTTAAAAGGTCGAGACGGCAAGCGCCGCTAAATAGATGTCTTGCAACTCCTGCCATGTCTGCCCTGGCTCATTATTAAGTTGTTTGTTTGCACATTGTGTACCCACTTGCATATTCAGGTCAGTGATTGTTTCTTCCGTGGCCCGACTGAAATCCCAACACGGTTTGAACTCGTTGCTCATGTGGAAACTAAAGGGTCTTTTGTCATCATGGGTGACTTTAAATAATGCCAGGCTGCATGGTAAGCTGCGTGACGAGGCTGTTCTAGGACCACACCTCTTTGGTAAAGCTTTCTTTTGTAACTGGTAACTGGTAGTGGACAAGGCAATCGAAGTTTCTTCCTCCATTTCAGTTTCTAGAAATAGCTCGTAGTTTCCAGCACATGGTTCCAACAAACATAGCTCTTGGAAGCAGGTGACATACAAGGAACCTGGCACAACCCGGCTCCCAACAAGTTCTGCTTCATGGGGCCCTTCTCATTTTGCTCAGCTTGATTTTTGTTTATGTCGGGACAAAGAAGGAAAACTTGAGAAGGGATGACACGAAAGGTAGTTGTGTGACAGGGGACGCGGGGGATCACTCAGTGCGAAAGCCGACATGCGACCGGGCCCTTTTCTGCTGACACCAAGCCTTAGGCTTGTCAATATGGACGTCATGCGCTAGCAAAGCACCGCTTTGACAGAACGAAGGGAAAATTTCTGTCCAACCGAAGCATGGAGAAACGCCGACGTTCCTTTGCTTCACCCGTTTGCTTGCAAAAGTTAAAGTGACGTGGCAAATGGATGTCGAAAAATCCGAATCGCAAGTCGAATGATGATGATGATGATGATGAGGATGATGACGATGATGCTGATGATGAGACACTGCGAAGGGGCTGCTGCGTGAAGAGACGCACAAGGCATGTGACGAGAGTTCACTTGGGGGAGGGGGCATGGAACTGGAAATTCAGAGCAGAGTGGAGATATCTGGACCCGAAAAGAGAGCACCCCACGATGTCCATGGTTGCTCATCACTTAGTCCATTTAAAAAACCATTTGGAGGTATACATTGTCAGACACACGCATCGTGCGGGAAAAAAACACGATCAGTGTTAGCACAAACTCCAATGTCTCTTTTTGCGGTACCTATGGATGCTCGAACCTGTCACTTTCATCGCACCGTTGGGTACTTGGAAAATGGATGTCGAAAAATCGGAATTTCAAGTCGAAAGATGATGGTGATGAGGAGGAGGATGATGATGATGATGAGGATGATGACGATGATGCTGATGATGAGACACTGCGAAGGGGCTGCTGCGTGAAGAGACGCACAAGGCATGTGACGACAGTTCATTTGGGGGGGGGGCATGCAACTGAACATTCAGAGCAGAGCGGAGATATGTGGATCCGAAAAGAGAGCACCGCACAATGTCCATGGTTGCTCATCACTTAGTCCATGTAAATAGCCATTTGGAGGTATGCATTGTCAGACACACGCATCGTGCGGGGGGAAAAAAACACGATCAGGGTTAGCACAAACTCCACTGTCTCTTTTTGCAATACCTATGGGTGCTCGAACCTGTCACTGTCATCGCACCGTTGGGTACTTGGAAAATGGAGGTCGAAAAATCCGAATTTCAAGTCGAAAGATGATGGCGATGAGGAGGAGGAGGAGGATGATGATGATGATGTTGATGATGATGATGGTGATGATGACGAGACACTGCGAAGGGGCTGCTGCGTGAAGAGACTCGCCAGGCATATGGCGAGAGTTCCCTTCGAGGGGGGGGAGGGGGGGGTCCCTTTCTCCTGGTCGTTCAAAGATAAGGGGTCCAGCCCGCCCCTTTGCTTCGCAAAATAAAACTCAAGGTAGCCCGCTAGGAGGCTACCTTTCGTGACATAGTTCAAGATCTGTTTTCTGACCCCTTTTGTAATATCCACAGCAACCATTACCCCATATTGGCCAGGGTCAAGCTGTCTCTTGGCGCCAGGCGAACAGCTGCGCACATAGAAATTGTGTTTCGTGTCCTCTTCGTGTTGGTTCTGTGGGGCATGTGCGGTGAAACATTCACAGAAGCAATGTGCATAATAGTACCACATAAAATATTTTGTGCAACAAAGGTGAACGCTTTCTATTGTCAGCATGATCCTCATACATGTTATAGCGCACTCTGGGGCGTCTTCCACGGACTGAGAAGCAAGTCGATTACAGGAGTCGAGGCTACCGTTGCCCAAACAGCCTCTTTCTAGGCCCATGGGTTTGGAGCCAAGTGTTTGATTTGCGCCACCTATACCACCTACGGTGGTACAACTCGCCTATTACTTCTGTGTGTTTTTTTGGTGGTTTCTGCTATTTGGGACTTCTTGCCTTTCTTTTAGGTGGACCGAGTGTTTCTTTGTAGGCGCGAGGACGTGCAACGGTTTTTGTTCGGAAATAAATAGTCGTAAAAAGTGGTGGTTGTTTGGTCTGGGAATCTTGTGTCCCGCGGTTCGCCCGGCTTACCTTCTAGGCGGTGTTGTGGCAGGTGTGTGGAAATGGTTGTGAAAGAAAGAGCCGTTGTAATTTTTAATGGGGTGCACCAGGTGTGCGTCCTGTTTTTGTGTGCTTCGCGTTTTGTCCATTTGTCAACAGCGTTTTCCCCCGCCGTTTGGCAA